CGCCAATCACGGCGATATTCACTTTGGCGCGGATCCGCCGCAAAATACAGCCGCTCACAGACCCGAGCGACGTTCCCGCGATTCTGTAGGAACGTCCCCTACTCGCCACTTCGCAGCTGCGCCAGGCGAATCCTCCTCTGTCTCCTACTCGTTCGAGTGAGAGTGCCCCGGCACTTTTCGCTTTTCCTCCTTCTAATTTTTTCTTCTCCTTCACACCTCTTCTCGCCCAGTAGAGACCCCCCCCCCCACACACACACACAAAACCCCCCTCAACACCCCACCTACTAACGCGACCGCACCCGTTGTTACAGAGCGTCCCGGTCTCTCTCGCTTTCTCTCCCTCTCGTCTGCGACTATTGGTTAAATTGACTCGCGATCGCGCCTTCCACGAACCATTAATTCCACATTCAACGTTAGAGAGATCGAATCGGTAAAGGGGCATATTATTTTTAAATGAGTTGTTTGGAGTTTCTGAAATAGGGAGATCACGATTGCTAAAGAAAAAATGATATTTTTTCATACAAAAAATAATCGATAAATTGAAGTCGATTATATTTCTCGGGCTCTATATATCGATTAATCTGAGACAATTGGCGTTCTCAGCAAATAAAATGATCAAATATATTATTATAATGCAATTGGAAATCCTCGTAAAATATACGCTGCCTTCTGAATATGTTAATTACGAATTTCATAAAACCCAAGCAATTTAGAAATATCTATATATTGTTGTTAAAGAAAGATTAATATAAAAAGCAATTCCGTTCCTAAGAATTAACGGTGCGTTTTCCCAACCCTCGCTCACAGCCAAAGCTACGAATTGCCATAAAAGAAGCAATAATATTATTAAATTATTAAATCATTAAATGAAAAGGGCATGTACGAAATACATACTTATATCATGTAATATTTATCAATGTTTATTGTTTCACACGTATTTATATTAATAAATTCAAATAAATCGTCAGTCCTCTATTTATAAATAAAAAGAAATTTTATCAATCGAAATAATATTATTGGTTCGTAACTAATATCGAGGTAATTTTAAAATTGAAGTTTTATAAATATAAATCTAAATATTAAATGCTAACAATATGTTGAATCGACGATCTCACCGTTGGGGCAATTTTCCAAATTAGGTAATATAGAACCCAATTAGTGTTGTGATGGGTAGACGATTAACAATGAAAAGTATTAATTTAATGCAAGACGACTTTGATATTAAAATTATCTTAGTATTATATGTAGTATTCATCATATACTTAAATTTTATATTTTCAAATTTATTTACATAGTACAAGATGGATTGCTTATAACTAACAATACTTATTTAGAATAAGAACAATGCACTTTAAATGAAATTCTTGGTTAAATAATAGAATATATTCGTTATTAATTAACAATTATTAATGTAAATTAAAATAATAGTCTTTTATGTAGACAATAAAATATTTTAAGAAAATCTACTTAAAAAATCCTGTTTACGCACAACTTTATATATTTTTGATAAATATATAAGTTATCGATTGTCAATCTATCTACCGTTCGTTAAATTTCTGTTCTTACGACATTATCGAAATCAATAATAAAAATATTAATTAATAAAGATTAATAGTATCAAAGTAATAAAGTACGAATTTTTTTCTCTTCATTATTTACTTACACAGACACTTGCTGTAAAAAACCTTTTTTTATCTCATAATTGATAAATATTTGATGTGTAAGAGTATTGATTTTGTCAAGTAACATTTCATCATATTATTTAGTACAAAAAAATAATTTTTTAAATATTCGACAGTAATGATAAATATTTCAAAAATCACTAAGTTGATACTGTAAAATTATTCGTTTAATCGATAACTTATATTATTTATCAGTATTGAGTTTTCAATTTGAAATTCAAGATACAATAATGAGAATACATTAGCTTTGTACATAATAATAATAATTTAAACTTACTGCATATAATTATAAATAAGGAAATATTACAATTTTATTATAAATGCAGCATTCCGTAAAGTTCTATATTGTGGCACAATAGGCGACACAATTTCTATCCCACACACACACACACACACACACACACACACACACACACACACACACATATATTATATATACCGATGTAGAAACTGTTCCAGTTTTTATATTTTCTAATGATTTTTCGAGGAAAATTTGATAAACTGAATTTCTTAATAGTGCTGTTTATTTAAAGTGCCCACACTTCTATTTAAAATATTATATTTTACTGAAGCATACGTGCAAGTTGTAGCTATGCTTTCTAAATCACTTCAATATTAAATAAGTAAATAATTATTATTTAAATATTATGAAGAAATTTATTGTTAAAACGGATATTCGGAGATGTTGAATATAAATTTTATAAATATGTCGGTAGTAATAAATAATAAAAGCTTTTCCATCTAAATTTCATAATACTGAGCTCTTAAAGAATTATATCTAAACATATCTATGGCAATTCCACGTCTTCGCACCTATTGAAAACATATTCTATTACTAGAGAATGGAATACTTGAAAAAATAACGTTAATTCCTATTAATATAAAGAACTAATTAGATTTCTTTTCATATATGTTATTATCGTCACAGATATCCTAAATCATTAGTTATCATCGTTACCGACTTTAGCTCGTGGAATATCGAAAACTGAATATATTTTTGTTAGAAGTAGAATGTTAACAATATTGTTTACACTAAAAATTTATTTATAAATGAAAAAATTTAGTAGTAGAAAAAAGTAAGTAGTAGTAGTAGTAGTAGTAGTAGTAGTAGTAGTAGTAGTAGTAGTAGTAGTAGTAGTAGTAGTAGTAGTAGTAGTAGTAGTAGTAGTAGTAGTAGTAGTAGTAGTAGTAGTAGTAGTAGTAGTAGTAGTAGTAGTAGTAGTAGTAGTAGTAGTAGTAGTAGTAGTAGTAGTAGTAGTAGTAGTAGTAGTAGTAGTAGTAGTAGTAGTAGTAGTAGTAGTAGTAGTAGTAGTAGTAGTAGTAGTAGTAGTAGTAGTAGTAGTAGTAGTAGTAGTAGTAGTAGTAGTAGTAGTAGTAGTAGTAGTAGTAGTAGTAGTAGTAGTAGTAGTAGTAGTAGTAGTAGTAGTAGTAGTAGTAGTAGTAGTAGTAGTAGTAGTAGTAGTAGTAGTAGTAGTAGTAGTAGTAGTAGTAGTAGTAGTAGTAGTAGTAGTAGTAGTAGTAGTAGTAGTAGTAGTAGTAGTAGTAGTAGTAGTAGTAGTAGTAGTAGTAGTAGTAGTAGTAGTAGTAGTAGTAGTAGTAGTAGTAGTAGTAGTAGTAGTAGTAGTAGTAGTAGTAGTAAATAATGTTGGTGGTTGTATATGTTAAATTAAAAAAAAAGTAAATAATAATAATATGTTTGAAAATCACATTTAATAATCATATCGGATTATTAAAATACAATAAAAGAAGTTTTACAAATAAACCATGTCATTGAATAATGTATGAATAATTTTTAATCGAAAGTAGCCTATTTTTATATATTTGTAAATACAATTTTTTCTTATTTTTAAGCAAGCTTCGCATTGTGAAATAAAAAAAAAAAAAAAAAAAAAAAAAAAAAAACAAAGTTGATTTTAAATCGTAATTTATATATATTCCAATAAAATTGACATATACTTATTCGTTTTAACAGTTTCCATTGTAATACGCTTGCTAACACATCTATTTTGAGATCATGAATCTTTGCTACAAACGAATGACAAGAGCGTAAATTTACCGATTCTCAGGGTTTTATGTTTACATAATACGAGAGTATAATTGTTGATTTACACAGACGCACCAACGAATTGCTACAAATTTTAGCCTCCTTTAGCCTAATTTTAAAATTATTAAATTATTCAAGTCAATTCTACATTTATTGAATTAGCTAATATTTAAAAGGCACATGGACGAAGTTCTTTGTGACACAACACCAACGACTCGGTTAATTTTGTACATAAACGCGTATTAAATATGAGAAAAGTGCCAACGCACAATGATCATTAACGGTACAATGGAGCCTCCGTTAATTGTGCTTATCGGGGAATTGGAAATGGGAAAAAAAAAAAATTGGAAACAAAAGGAGAAATACAAGCAGTGCTCGTGCACACGTGCAAACAACCCATCGCTAATATTACGTACGTGTTAGGTGTGAATCCCTAAAAGGATTATCGATGACTCCCAATGTGTTTTATCATTTCACACGACTCGCGCGCAAACGTACATACGGCCAGCGATGCCGGATTTACTTTGGACGCGGGCCCGCGTGAAAGGCTTTTCTTCCCAGCTCCTCTCTCTCTCTCTCTCTCTCTCTCTCTCTCTCTCTCTCTCTTTCAAAAATCCCTCTTTCTAACTTCCTCGCACAGTCGACGACACGTTCGGAGAGTGCAAAGTAAAAATAGGCATCGGAAAGCTTCGCCTTAAAGAATCGGCGCGCTTTAGTGGCCACACTGGCACTTCCCGGTCTATCGACGAGCAGCACTCACTCCTTTTATTTCCCATTTCTAATAACATAACTGATAAAATAAAAATGGCGCGTAATGCCGTGGGAGAAACTTTAAAAAATATTAACGGCTACTTATCGAACGATTCAAGCATTATAAACTCGACAATCGTCGCTTAAACATTCACTCACGTGCTTAGTTATTTTCCTCTTGTAGATATGCGATGCATTTTAGCGGTTACCAACGGTTCCTTCGATTTTCGTTCCCAACGAGTCATTAGCCGGTCAATAAAAATCGAATACATCGATATCCACAAAATTTTTAACATCCATTCGAATAGTAGACGACTGTTTTTTTTTTAGATTATCACTTATGTCTATAATATATAGTAGATATTTGTGATATAAAGGAGATATAAAGTCGACTGTTATATAAAACTAAGTGTTAAGCGAATACGAAAGTTAAGAAGTTGAATTCAATAAAATGGAAAATAATGCAAATTTCTAAGTCCACGGGATATACAACCTCTTTAATACAATTAACATTATTTACTTACTTTGCCGAGTAATTTGCAACTATTTGTAACTTTGTTGTACATTGTAACACTAACAATATAAACATACGTAATACCAAGTCTTTTATTGAAAAATAACGAAAAAATTCAAACAAAATATATATATGCACACAGCACGTGTGTTTGTGCTGTCAGTATGACGTCATCCTTCGACCGACACACGATAAAGCTTAGGCGATCGGAACTTTGACGCTTTCGTGACACGCTTGGCAGACAATGTAATGAAGAATTGACGGTATCGAATATAAACTTGGCTCAAAAATAATTATATTTTTAAATGGGATTCTCAAAATTATTTGTTGCTTAACTGTGGATAGCGAAGACATCGGTTTATTAATCTAGAGCTAACGGTCTTCCATACTCGACGATGCCTTAATCAAGAATACTCGCATCCATTTACTATGGAAATTTACCATTGCAAATTACATAAAAGCAGCGCAATTTAATGGGAAACATTATTATTCAATTATATCGGCTATTAATAGTTGACAATGGTCAAATGGTCAAATTAAATAGTATTTTAACGTTCGATTAACATTATATTTTTAAAACTCTTAGGCATACATTTTCATTTACTTTTAAGCTATTACAACTATCAAAATATTGATTTTTCTAATGGCTTTCTACTTTTCTACTCAAATTTATTATTATAATAGCAAACGAAATTAAACTCTTTGTCACTATAAACTAAAATATTTATAACGTTAAAAATGTCCATCAGTTGCATATAATTTGAATAAATTACTTTTATAGTAAATGATGAATTTGTAAAGATTGTTTAAATCTTATTCAAGACGAATGTCATAATGAAATTCAATTTGTCAATTAACTAAAAGTTTTTTCAAAATGATTCATTAATAAAGAAATTATTAAAAAAAAAAAAAAAAAAAAAAAAAAAAAAAAAAAAAAAAAAAAAAAAAAAAAAAAAAAAAAAAATTACACCTAAAACATTAAAACAAATATTAAATCATTTTTTTTAAAACCGATCTTACTGTCTTCTATAAAAATATGAGTATTTTTTGTATAATCAATAAATTAAATTAAATAATCCTTTGCTATATGAGAAAAGATAAGGTCGTATGATTATATTCATACATTATTTATCTTTTCTTAATAAGAGAAACTACTTTAATTTATCTTAATTGTACACCACGTAATTTTCGAATGTGTTTCCGTCTTGTCGATTAAATTAATAATCAAGTAAACATAATATATTAAAATTCTATATTATCTTACAGATTTAACAGGTTTTTTTTTTCTAAATTAATTACATATAAAATGATTTTAAATTGTACAATTACAATTATTGTAACAGATATTGGACACATATTACATTTAGGTAATATTAAAATTACAAATAAAAATTAATTGTAATCTTGAAAAGAAAGAAGAAAAAGAATAAAAGTTTACTCAACCACTAAATAAAATTCATATAATAACAATCAAAGGTGTATAAAAATGTTTTTTAATAATATAATGTTTCTCAATGTAGACTTTTTTTATAATCAATGGGATTGAAATGTATATTTAAGGAAAATGTTATTCAAAATAAAACATTTTTCACACGAAAATTCATTCCCAATCAGAATCTTTAATATCTTCCACTATATCAGCATCATTTGTCGAAATTTTCATATTCTCGTCATTTTTGGTCTTTAATTTTTTTCTTGATTTTGCCGACTTCTTTAATCTTTTATTCATTTGTTCCACAGGTACCTCTAGATCGCTATCCTCTTCACTGTTTTTTTGCTTATTTGACCTCTTGGTTTTCTTAATAGTTGGTACTTTAAAATCGGCCACTTCTTCATGCTGCGTTAGAAGTTTTATTTGCTGTGATTCGTGGAACTTCAGCCATGTATCATAAAATTTAGTAACCGGAGTACCAGCATCTTTTATGCTTCTCTCCCAAATTTCAATTTCCTTCATATTGGACAGATCGAACACACGCTTTGCTCGCTCAGTCTCAATAAATTTCCTACCTTCTTCGATTTTATCCAGTAGCTGCTTAATTTTTCGACAATATTTGCCTACCTGGCACTTTTTCAAAAATTCCTTAATCTATAATTGCAATTAACGAAGCATTAATTTATGATATACTCAAATCATACTAAAATTATCATTAACATATTGTTAATGATAAATTTCATTTGCATAAGAAACAATTTCGACTTATTAATTTAAGACTTATGAATTTAATAAATTAATTTTACTTATAAAACCATTAAAAATAATTCTGAATTTATACTTAGTTGTGAAAAAACTAGGCACGCTAACTAAAACATTCAATTATAATAATCAATTTCTGATTTTATTCCATTTTTTAAATAATACTTCTAAGATATCCCCGTATTTTCACAAAGTTTATAAGGAAATGTTTATATCTTATTATATTCGTTATTATGATTTTTACACACCTGAATTACACAAAAGATATACATGTCTGGGAAATAAATTTCAGTACTATCCTTAGCAGCACTTTCTAAAAGTAATTCGTAAACATTTTCTATAATGGCATCTTTATAGCCATTTTCCTGCGCTTGACTCTTTGACACTTTTAACATACACATTAATGACATTGGTTTCATGGAAACTACTTTATGTTTTCTGTTGAAATCATATATTTCTAGTACCTAGAAATGATGTGTTAATAAATATAAAAGAAAGAAAAAAGAAGAAAAAAAAAAAAAAAAAAAAAATCAGTATTCTTATTATAAATGTCCTTCATTTAGAATATTTACCTCGGTAATAAATGGTAAGGATGGAATAAATGTTCCTGCCTCTTTAGATATTTTGATCAACATTTTGACACAATGGAAACGTAATGGAAAATATCGTGAAATTGGAATCAACTTTATAACTCCAATGGTTATCTATAAGAAGGAATAACATTTAATTATAAAAGTAAAGAAGAAATACGAAATAAGAACTTACTTGAATAAGAGGGTACTCCAAATTGTGCAATAATGTTTTTTTGTCTGCCAAAGCAATAAGTTCGGACCAAAATCGTAAAGAATTGATAAATTGCCAATTATAAACTGCCTGAAAATTCTCCTAGCAAAACAGAAAAAATAGTCAGAGTAAATAAAAATACTTATGCTATAAAACTATAAAGTGATCTATTAATTGTGCATACTTTTTTCTTTAATGTCAATGCTTTTCGTAAATGAATTGCCAGTTGTCTAACATACAAGAATGCATTATAATAAGAAAAATTACAGTCGATCAGGTACAATTCGACAAGGGATTGTCGCATAAAATTTATTCCTGGTAGAGTGGAAGGTGAAACAAATTTTGCATTTTCTACATATTTAATATACATAGTCTGTAATAATAAACATAAAAGAATAATTGCTTTTTGCAATAATCATTATTGCAAATTTTTTGCATTATTGCAAACATTATTGCATTATTAACTACATTAATTACAAAATCATTATTGCAAACATTATGCAATAAGCATACAATAATCATTATTGATAAAATTTATTTTTAATTAATTAATTAAATCAAATTTATTTATAAAAATAACTGCTAACTCAATATTTTTTAATAATAATACACTTTTAGTATTCGTCAATATTAAATATTATACTTTTAATATTAAAAGGATCATGTCTCTGTGACTTTTGAAAATTAAATACTATTTCAAGAAAAATTCAAAAAATTTGTTTTATTTTTGATTGGTATATTTGTCTAATTTTAGCTACTAAAGATTGTATATTGACTGAAAGCTCTTTAAATTGTTCAAAATCGAGCTTTTCAATTTACTTACCTTCTGTAAATTACCAATAAGGAATGGTTGACTGGTAGCAATTTTTATAATACACAAGAAAGCTACAACCCTTACTGTTTCTTCATCCGCAGTTGACCAATACTTTATAAGTAAACGTAAAAGTGGTTTACGTAACGAAGAAAAAGATTGCGAATATGGTAACATTTGATGCAAATGTTTCAACAACAGCACAATGATATCACCCGACGATACACTTTCCAAAACCTATAAAATTTTAATTCGATAAAGAAATACCCTAGGTATATATGAAAATTTATCCCATATACCTTAACAAGATCATGTAAGTAAGCTTTGATAAGTCCTTTAATTTTTGGAAATCTTTTAGACTTGTGCGCTTCGATTGGTGTTTCACTTTGTATCTTCAAAAATTTACCAAATGCCTCTGGCAAATATAAAATGCATAACTGCATAATACCATTAAAAACTGAAATAACATTTAGTTTAATTTTTTGAATAACATTACTCTAAGGTTAAATATATTAAATAAAATTCAAACTTACTTGCTCCACCTTCGACTTTATATTGTGTAGTTCTTTTGTCTGAATCGCTTACAGTTTCTAATGCTCCGTGAAATGCGTCTACGAGACGTTTAATACTTGCCGCAGACCTAACATAATACATACATTTCTATCAAATATTAAGAAATATTTTACTAAATAAATCAAATAAAATGAAAAATATTACTTGTCATTCTGAATTTCGTTTTCCCAAATTTTAAGTAATTTTAAAGTTACTTTTGTTTTATCACCTGAAAACTCTGGTCTATCCTTATTTGTCTCATAATCAGATTCATCACTTGGAACCTAAATAAGTAAATATAACAATTCATTCAATATTAGTTAATACTCCTTAAGTAATATTACATAGAATTTTGTTTTTTTTTTCTTCGTTAATTATCAATACAATCTTTTTTGCAACATATTGTTTAAAGAATTCTAAATAAAAATATAGTCACAAACTTGTAATTCATAGTCTGGAACATGTTTTGAATCATCTTTATTCTCATTCTCATCAATCTCATCATCAACATTAAAATCCAAAAGCTGTGCATCGTTCTTTTTTAAATAATTAAAAAATTCTGGATCCGTATCTTTCAAATTCCATAAAGATTTTTTGTGTTGAAATTCATCCAAATCACTGTCTTCGCTATCATCTATCACATTAAAATCAAAGTTAATAAGACCAATAATTATGAAAATAGAAAAGCATTGAAATTACCCATATGGTTTTTCGATGATTTGTTATGTATTGAATTTCCGTTTTGACCATCAGCAAGTCCCAGGTTTCCAAAATCCAAATTAAGAAACTCATCTACATTTACATTGGCTGCATTTTTTTTCTTCTTCCTTGCCACATGTTTCTTTGCCATTTTTTCAACTGCTTTACCCTTTTTAAGTTTCATTTCAATCTAATAAACGATAAAAGAATTGGCAATTAAAATAATTACGTTATTTAATATAATAAGCAAATTATTTTCTATTATCGTTTATTTACTTTGACGCTCTTTACATTATTAAATAACATTATGTTCAATATCTACGCTATTATTAAATAATTTATTACAAACTATTCTTACCTATATATTTTTTTAAATATAGTTTTATATATAATTTATTATATTTTTTTATATATAATTTTTTTTATACAATTTAAAAATTACTTTTAGTTTACATTGAAGGTTAAGTCTTACGCTTTGTGTCGAACACATGGACAGTGAGATCGTACAGACTTCTGTTTTACCTACAACTAAACTGACTTGTTGGACGGTAAAAAAAAAAATAATCGTCAGCACAATTTACTTTGATGCAAAATTTACAAAACGGCAAGTCATTGTTATACTCGATTTTCATTATTAATAATAATTTAATTTTAACCAATAATTAATTACATTATGTTGGCAAATTTTTTGGGATTGTTTATAGCAATTAGAGCTCGTTGCCGACAAACAAGTATTTATTATCATGATAACGTAGACACAATTTGCTAACACATCTGCCATAATAAATAAACTATAAAAAGTTAATAAACCAAAATCGTATGCGATGTATATGTATGTTTTGTATTACTTATTGATGTTTTTCCAATTTTTTTTTTTTAATATCATTGCTTACATAATTTTTAAAAATAAATTATTAATTTTATTTTTATAAGGTTTAATGATATTTCACATAATTAAGGGAATAATTAATTTATTTTGGATTTTGTAAAATTTTAGGATGCAAATTATAAAAATAATTGAATAGAGCATACATATAATATAATAGACACAACATTAAAAAATTATGAATTACACGTACTAGCCTTTTTTATAATTTTCGTTTGTTTTTATTGTTTTTTGATATTTTTGATAATTGTATCAAAAGTTAAAAAAAATTTGTTTGCTGACGTTAATAGATTTAATAGATATTATGGTAGTGCAACTATTGAACAAGTATTAAATAATTACGTTAAGTCAAGGATATACTAACGATAAATCATGTTACAAAAATCATCTGAAACTTTATATAATCATGCATAGTATTTATCTATTATATTTGTCTGTTATGTACAATATTCTATTACAATATATAGATGCAGTTCTTTTTACTTTTTTTTTCTTTACTATTATTATATAGAAAATCTCAACTGTATCAATGTAATTAATTTCAAATTTAATTTCTTAAATTCAATAATTAATTGAATTATGGATATTAAACAAAAAAATTTATAATGCTCACATTACTTTATTTCCGATTTCATTTATTTAAAATAAGAATATTTAAGTTAAAAATTTGACGTTAATACCAACTTGGACCTTTAGTATATTTACCAAATGCATCTTTATCGTATATATAATGTAAACAAAAATATTAAAAAATAATAATAATACTTTTTTACAATTAAAACTCGATACATCTCATTATAATAATATATTACTAAATTGATGATAAGGACAATATTTTACAACATATATTTTTAAATATATTTAAAAAGAAGAAAATATTATATAATATTGTATAAAAAGAATATTGTTTTCACTTGCAAAAATTATCTTTTACAAAATAAAGTTAATTATAGTTCTCAAAATATACAAAAAAACTAAATCCGTATCTACATATTAGTTATACAATCTCTATGTGCATAAACAAATTATGAGCCGTACAAACGTATGGAATGGAATATACAGAATCAGATAAAACACAAGGAAGGAAATAATATGAAAGTAATGACAATTATTTAAAATGAATTAATGAAAGTAAAATTTTAGATACATTATAATATTTATGTGTCATTTACATAATTACTTGTTTTATTTATAATAATATTTCAAATTTACAGCATTAAAGAATATCGTGGGAAAGATAATTTTTAATAAACACAACATAAATCTGCAAGAAATTTATATTTACAATAAACTATCCTTTATAATTTCAGAGGCTTTAATTTGTAAATAAAAAATTACAAGAAAATAATGTAATATTGATGAAGAAAAATTGAAGAAATAAATTTTTAGAAGTCAGAGATAATAATGATAAGACATATAATTTGTATAAGTTTTGAAATAAAACCAATCTAATTACAATTTAAAATAGTCGAATGAATCGATATATGATCTTTTAATGATATTGGAAATTAATTCATTAAAAATTAAAAATTGGTGAGAATTTGTCCCAAATAAATTTTAAGCATCAATATAATTTTTCTTATTACATAAAAAATACACGTTCTTCAAGTGCTCCCAATGAAGAATGATAGCTGCAAATAATTTATATAAAACGGGCATTATGTGTGGACGAATGAAGAGAAGTGAATTACATTGACAGTGTAATTAAATAAATATTAAAAAGAAAACAGTGATTTTTGTAGAAAAAATTAATTTTATGATCTTGGGTATTTACGATAAATTCATGAAATAGTTTTTTAATTCTTAACATTAAGATATAAAAACGGATTATTAATAACTATCTGGTAATTTTGTAATGAATACATTAGTAATTCATTATAAAGTATAACATAAGCGTAATGTTCATAATATCATATGTTATTAAGGTTTATTAATATTATTATAACTGAAAAATAATATTTATATCTGGAAGAAATTTAAGCTTCTTTAAATCCATCTTTAAATGGATTCTATGACATTCTATTAGTTTAAAAGAATCTGTAAAAATATTTATTTTTCAATTTTTTACAAACAATAAAAATATGTCTTTCGATTATACTTTATACTTATAAACATTTACACTTATAATTGTATTTTAAATAAGTTCAAAATTAGAATTGGAACAGTAATCTTTGTATATAAATTATTGAATTATATATATGTGTGTGTGTGTGTGTGTGGGTTATTCTTGAAACATTTATATCAAATTATATAATATTTATTTAAATTATTATATTATAATTTGTAAATAATAACTAATTTTGTACAATATTCTTTTTCAAAGGTTATGATATTAAAATAGTTCAGTTTCATTAGACTTTAACAATGTTCACTGATTAAAAGAATCAACTATTCTGTATACTAAAATATTTTATTATTATAAGCTTGTTAAAATAAGTAGGTTTGCTAAATTCTTAAAAGAAAATACATTTAATTATAAGCATACTTATTGGCAATGTAAATATATAATTACGTATATAATTTATTTTATTATATATTTAACACGTTAATTTCTTTTTAAATAAAGAGCATACTTAACTTTGAAATCATTTTTCTTCTTTTTTTCCCTTTATTTGCAAAAACGTCCGTTTAGTCGATTGAAACTTCTTAAATGGTTCTATTTTATGTTAAAATTTTTGTCGTACGTTTTGTCGCAATAATTTAATGCATTTTAAATACAATATTAATATTAAAAGAAAAAAGTTTAATTATAAATAATTATATTATCAATGATAGTTAAGAGTTTTTTGTATAATGTGCGTTTTTGTACTCCATTTAAATGAACTAAAAGCTAAATTATTAGCTAAAAGAGTCAAGTTCGTGAAATCTTTAAAACTTAAGTAAAAGTAATTTTAACTAATCGAAAATTGAATTCCATTATAATTTTAATCAAATATACTAAGTAGATATAAAATTCTAGTGAATTACTTTTATTTAATTAGCTAAATCTTCATGACATAATAACTTTTTAAATGTATTAATTACGCCAGGGAAACGCAAATATTAATAACAGTAATGAATATAAAATATTGAATTTACATTAACAAGAAAAGAATGAAATGTTATCTTCAATCGCAAAAATGATCTACAAAAAATACTATATAAACAACTAACGATATTTACGATGCATATATAACATATTATCTCATAAATTACATAAATTCTAAATTACATAAAATAAAGAAAATAAATGAAGTAAAGTAGAGAAATATAAGGTTTTTAATAATAAAAAAGAAAAAAAGAAAAAAAAAAGGAAAAATGCATTCATACGTGAACGGCTTTTAAAACACTTTTATATTATAAATAATAATAAAAGCATTATTCTTTTTTATTAAATTATTAGGTTTAGAATTAAAATTCAATTTAATTCATAAATATTATATTCATTTTTTTTAATATGATCTGCTCTAATATACATATATAATTATTTTAGGGTACGTACAGTATTACGCAATTTTACTTATAATGTGTTTAATGCTCTTAAATGTCTAAAGACTATTAATTTTTGGATTACTGTAATTAAAGATTAAAAATTTAAAAAAAAAATAATATTTTACAGAAAGATATATATATATATATATATATATATAAGCAATAGTATACAGAAAAATAATAAAATATTTGTAAAAGTAATCTAAAATATCTAATATTTACTGAGATAATAAATTTATCTGCGTTCGTTTATAAAAATTATAAGTTAACAAATACAGAATTTCTACAATTAGATATCAAGATAAGTTAATAAATAAGATGATGGAATCTTTTAATTTGAGAATACAATAACATTAATTTCTCAAACTGAAAAGCTGACTTTGCTTATTATGAAAATTATTTAATCTGAGGAATTGATGATTGATAAATATATTTATAAATATACTCATTATACATAAAAATTTAATCGATTCAACATGACGACACATCATATTACACATTATGCCTTAGATAATGTGAGAAAGAACCTACATAGTTACTAAGTACGATTTTTATTTAAATATCTCATACTTCCATAGATGTATTAATAAATATTGTATCGCGTATTAAGTGTTTTCGTCACATTAAAATATGAGATAAAAGTTACCTAAATTATCTGCATTATTTCATCAATAGTACTTGTAGTGATATAGATTATTATATTGCATATAATAATAATAGCAAATTAACCGTTTGTTAAAGACATTTTTATAGTCAATAAAAAATTTGATCGTCTTATAAATTCTGATTCTACATATTATAAATTTTGCAATTTTTATATTGTAAAGTACTCGCGAAATATTTGTAGCAGTAGCGATCGGCGTAATGTATAAAAGCGCATAAATATGTTTATTGTTCTTACATATTTTCATACGAATAATGCATCTTTGGGAACTAATTTAGGGGGAACTAATTTAGGCAAAAAAAAAAAAAAAAAAAAAAAAAAATAAAAAAATCAATATTATACACGATCTAACAAGTGATAAAATTTATGTTTTGAAAAATACGTCAAATGATTTCAAAATGTTACGTAACATTCAAATACTTTTTAGTTCATAAAAGAACAGAAAGTTCTGCAATATTTGCGTTATTGAAAAAATGCGGCCCTAAGCTTTGCTCAAATAATGGATAAATGTAAGAAAATATGTAATTGAAGGGACTGAGAATTTGCTGCGCAATTGCCAAGAAATCTTGCTCGATATGCGAGAAAATTAAATATTTTTTTTTTTTGCATTCTTGCATGACTTTGCTTTATCTGGCCTACCGAATATCAATTATAATAGATAAGAGTGTCGAGTACATATCTATCGTGTGTATTTGTTAATTAAATCCCCGTAATATTATACGTGTCGTTTATTGAAATAAGCAGAAGCAGCTCGATTCGACTTTTTCATATTAATTATGTCATATTGTCATATTAATCATATAAATTTCACATAATCAATAAACCATAAACTCATAAATAAGCGTGTATAATCCGACAATTGGCGACAAATGCTTCTTGCCATTATTATTTTTGTGAAGAAACAGATCGGTGTTATCGAGCGCCGACAACTTCATCGCTGAGTATCGCGCGTATTTAATCTCCTATTTAGCTTCGAAATAATTCATTTGACGCAAATACGATAAATCGTTCAAGGTGGATTATATTGGCCAAAGAGCAATGAAAGCGGTGGACTCCTCGGGCTCTAGGTAAGCTACTTCAATTAAATGTAAACTCATGGGAATATATCCATGCGCGAAGGAACGTGGTAGAGAGTTGGACCGAATGATCATCGATCGCCGTATATCGATCATCGACCATATCCGTGCTTTAGGACAGCAATACGAATCCCTAGATCTAGCAGGACTCTCCGCAATGGCGCATCCTCTCGGCTGCTCAAGGAGCCAAGTAGGACGAAGCGGTTGGCTCGAGCGACCCTGTCCGGCTAATAGAAGCTGTTCGCGCGCGTGGACGAATCGCGCGCGTCGTTGAGGAAAGCTGATACGAAAGCTCCCGAGGTGGGGCGAGGCGGTCTTTATATAATACGGCGCAGCGGCGGCGCGGACGACATTAGGGCAGCTACATCGGTTACGGAGCCGCAGTCTCGATCGGCGACCTCGTAGTTGCAGCTTGCGAGGACTCGCGGCCCCGTCGTCGACGAATGACCTCTTAACGAGCGCGAGCACGGTGATGCGAAGCGGCTTCCTAGAACTCGGAGACGAGGTATTTTTCGAGGAGGCTCGCATGGATGGTATCGCGAGTTCCTCGCACCTAAGTTCGTCATAATGGAGTGGCGCCGCAGTTGTGCTCGACGTGATGGGCACTGATCAGGGAATATCGTCACTGTCCATTGGCAACATGGAACCTTACAGCCATTCCTTACTAACCATCTTTATTAACCACAATTATTATCATCATCATCATCACTATAACTGCTACCGCTACTGCTGCCGCTACTACTATTATTATTAGCATTTTTATTGTTAAGTCACGCGGTGCTTGGATTTATAACGGCCGTTATAATAACGCTCAAGTCGACGATGACGCTCGAATCGACAAAGCACAACTACTTATCGGTATAAATAAACGCGTTGGTGTGTGATAAAATGTAATGATGTATCGAGTGCGGTAGAGATAGTACGAATTCGTGGTGAGACTCGATTAAAAAGAGAAGATTAAGTAAAAAAAAAAAAAAAAAAAAAAAAAAAAAAAAAAAAAATGAGATAACTTGCATGTAATTGCATCGACTATGTGGATTATTCTTATTATTCGGTTTAATGCCTTAATACGGTAATAATGTCGATACCTTTCAAGCTCGAACCTTTTTTCGCTATTATAGCCATTTTGTTTACTAATGAACATAAATTTTCAAAAACTTTATACATTTCAAACGCCTTGTTTAATTATCAGCCAAATTATTTCTTATGCCGAAATATAACTAAACATCTATCCCCTCGTCTTTCATCATTACTTAATTTAATCTCAATTGAAAATATCATGAGATGAAATGAATTTATTAATAAAAAATATATTTGTCGATTTATTGAATAATTTTAATAAGCAATGTAATATGATTATAGAACGAGTGTAATGAAATACTATCGTATTAGTAAGAAATATAAGCATTAACGATTTGAAAAATTATTAAAAAATTACTTAGAAATAGAAACGCGATTGTCGTGATATCAGGCCTTAAATTATAAATATTCCTATAAATTATAACCTAAAAAATTAAGAAAAATATTGTTAAATTAATAAATCATTATCGACTAATAATTAAAAAAAAAAAAAAAAATGTTTCTTTTTTGTTTCTGTAGCAAAGCCAGCTAGCTATTAAGTTCGACAGCTATATTTATAATTTCTATTTCAGTTATTCACGTCGATCGTAATAAGCCATAATCTTCGGCTAATATACATTTCGTTATTAGAAATTGTATTCTAAAAGTAAAACTGCTCAATGTTTCAAGCTATATAATAAAGTAGGAAAAACACAATGAACAATACGTATGAAAACTATGCCGGCCTACTGGGTGGCCTTAAACATGCCGGTATGCTATTTTATATAATTAATCCTTACGAAAATGTATTTGAAAAGTACGAAGATGTACCGGATTACCAATTGCAGGTAAATCAAATAATGCGACAAAAGAATTTTCTTAAATTTTCTATATTCTTCATTGTTCCCAAACTATCTTCAAATTTCAATATCTTTCTCGGGTCATTGTACGTTTGATTGAAATTTTTATTGAAAATTTTGTACATTTTGTTCCAAATATTATACGTAATTTTTTTCTATTTTATTTCAGTTTTCCTACTAAATTATCGTTTCTTTGTTAATATTAAAATTTTATAAAAAATATTATTAAACTTTTTTTTTAACATAAAATAATATCATAAATAATTGATTGATGTTTATATGCAAAGTATTGAGGTAAAAATTAATTGCTTTTTCATGAAATGAGTATGGTAGTGTAGGGGAAAAAATTTTTTGACATGAAATGTATGAAATGACAATAATTATACGAATCGTGATTTTATTTTGTTTGCATAAGGTTTGGTTTTCATTTTTCGTTCTTATCGCTTTAGAAAATGCGATAATTTACGCGAAAAAAGAAAAGTCATTTCGTTTAAATGATCATGTGACTTCCCTATCGCATTGGATCCTTCAAGAAACTGGACGGTAAGCATAGGCAACGCCATACTGTATAGTTTATCATTTATTTTATTATTGCGATCGAGATCACGGAAACGATAAAATTTACATTATATTTTAAAATCATAGATTTTCTCGAGAGAAATTAATTTTATGAATATTACAATGGAATTCATTGGGTTTGGCTAATTTTTCAGTTAGTTTTATCACAATGCTTCAGCAATAAATAAATATATATATATATATATATATATATAAGTTTCTAATTTATATTTAAATTTAAATGTATTTTTAAGTTTATATTTAATCGTCATCTATTTCATGATCTATGTCCCTCCAAATTCAACGAGCAAACTTCACAAAGTATTTCTTTCAAATCATTTCTATTCGAATCATTAAAATAATAAATCATTTAAAATTGGCGGGTAATTTGAATTGTTTGACGGGAAAATAATAAGGGAATATGTTATATTTATAGAATTATTTTTCGAGGGGCAGAGTACTATGCTTACATATCCATTTACCAAAATTTACGAATATGGAATTTATCTTGGAACTCTGTTTGGACTTGGTATGTAACAGCTATCGCAGTTGACTTTTGTTATTACTGGGTGCACAGAGCAAATCACGGTGAGTTTATTTCATATTTTATTAACTTTATACATGCTAAATACAGAGTTTTTTTTTTTTTTATTTTTATTTATTTATTTATTTATGTATTTATTTATTTATTGTTAATATCACTTTTTTTAACTGGGCATATTAATTATTTCATCAAAGAAAACGCGTAAAATTATTCCTACACAGACATACAAGTATTCTTTTACATAAGATAATCATAAGCAAATGAGTAACATGGCCTCTTTAAGGAGCTTTGGACTAATAACAAAATCTCCAGGATTTAGAACTTTAAAAGTAGTATATTTAGAAACCAAGGCAATAGAAATATCTTTCAATCAAGTCATTATAAAATAGAAAAATTTACACCAATGTTATGTCAATTTATCGTATATAACTCGAATAATTATATCTTACGACAATGCACATATTACATTTATAAATTACTCAAAATTTTACTTATAATTTTATTAAGTATCGACCAATGCTAATAAAATTATAAATATAGTTAACGTTACATATTAAATAATTTAATTGTCGACAATTTATATGCAAAGTAATTTTATTTACACATTTGCCCATATATATTTCATACACAGATAAATACACTTTTCACATTCATATGAATAGATAAGATATAATACATAATACACGTGATCAAAATAAAGAATAGCGTACGTATATTTCACCAATAAATACGTACAAATCGTTCGTTTAATATAACATTATAATATATCAGTTCGTGCTAAATCCATTACAGGCAATGCTATTAGTCCGTAATTGGCAGTCACATTGCTCGCGTTTATAAAATAATCATAATATAATCGAACAACGTGACCGAATGATGAATACGTCTCGAGACGTGTGAAAAAAAAAAAAAAAAGAATGAAAAAAGAAGCCAAAAGGGCTACTTTGAAACTCTCATTCGTCGATACGGCACGGGTCAATGCTCAAGTCAAGAGTATTGTCAAGGCTATTTATTCTCTATCCCTACGCTCATCCCCTTCCTGCTTTACAGAAGTGCTCTTCCTCTGGGCGCACCATCAGGTCCATCACAGCAGTGAGGAATTCAATCTTGTGGTCGGACTGCGTCAGTCGGTGTTGCAACATTGGTGCAGCTTCGTAAGTACAGTTACACAAGTACATAAAAAAAAAAAAGTGCTACGCTCGGATTGCCTCGAGTGTCATACTCTTCGGCGCCTCCACATAATACATTTGATCCCTTTAAGGTGAAATCGATCTTCCCTCTCCGCTTTACGCATTTTTTTGCCTCCGTCAGAATTCCTTCTCGACAAAATTTTTCATTCCTAAGTACACTTTTAAAGTCGTATTTGTCTCTCAGTTTTTACACCTTCAGCGTTGGCAAGCCCGATCTTGTGGTGCGATTTAGTTACCACCTAACACTTCCATTATACACATACTTTGGTGATATTGATCAAAATAACGTTATTTCAAGAATCTTATTTATATAAATTTTTGGCATTATATTTCTCAACACCCTCCCCAATATTCGAAATAATGCTTTCATATTTTGTGGATTGTAAATGCCTCTTCTCCTCTTTACTTCGGCAATTATACTTCAATATTTGAGTAATTTTTATAGTCTTTAAATTATAATTGTAGACAGAATGAAATGACAATCTTCATTGGAAATCAAAACCTTATCCTTTCTATTTTACTCATAATATCATACTAAAAATTATTGAAACAGTTAATAAAGCAACTAATTTATATGCTCCCTACTCCCATGGCAATGCTCAAATAGTCGTAATTAAATATTTATAAAATGAGAAAAAAATTAAGAAAAAGTAATAATGATTTAATTACATGAAAATCCATAAAATAAATCATTAATGCGATACGAATATTAGCATGTAATAAGCAATTACATATCAAACGTTGATTGAGTCAGGATTGTTATGCTTCTTAGAGTTATAAAATCACTCTATTTTTATATTTTATAATCTTATGACAATCTGAACATATACATTATCTCACAACAGTATAAAGTATTTAAACTTTACTACAGTTTATTACATTCTATCCGTTGTTTCCTACATTACATCCGTTATCCGTTCAATCATTATATAATTCATTTTTAATAATTTAAAATAAATTTTGATACATTGTTGCCATTATTTTACAATATTTTATAGTTACAATCTTCTTAAAAAAAAAAAGAAAAGACAAAATTAAGAAGATAAACGACTTTAAATTACATATCGAATATTAATGATAATTACACGATTTACTATTTTCATATACCATACATGTGTATATATATATATGTGTGCAAATTTATTTTTCAAATGAAATAGGTAAAAAAACGCATAGAAAAATGATTGGAAAGTAATCAAATGTTCATGATTCTTATTTAATATATTTAGAGCAAACTTTTTTGTTGCATAAATAAGAAAAAATTATTTTAATTTATTATATAAACAATACAATATCTCTATAGCACATATATTAAAAATCGACCAAAATTAAAATTTATAAACGTAAATATGTTTTTAGTTATTTTACTTACCACTGGCTTTTTTCATACCACCTTCTCATTTTGTGGCTCATCACCAATTCAATTTGATTTATCAACTTTGGATACATACAACAGTAATTCATGATCTTGGTCCATTCGAATGGATATTTAATACGCCGAAGCATCATCGTGTTCATCATGGTAATTATTTCATTAAGTCTTTAAATAAAAGATTCGCATAATACTCAATATGATATTTCATTTAATATTAAAAAATTTTTATTATGAAAAATGTTTAAAAGTTAAAATTTACGTATGATTATTTTAAAAATTCCATGTAGACAATTGATATTCTACCAACAGTATTAAAACATATAGAATTATTCATAAATATTACAATAGTCTTAAAAATAAAATTGATTTTGCATTTTATATTTTAGACTAGACAGTTTAATGAAAATAAAGTTATTAAAACGATTTCATACTAATATTATACATAATAACAACAACAACAACTATGATAATCATAATAATAATGATAATAAGAATAATAATAATAAGAATAATAATAATAATCATAATAAAAAATCATAATAATAATGATAATTATAATTATAATTGTAATAATAAATATATTATTGATCATAATGATGATGATGATGATGATGATGATGATGATGATGATGATGATGATGATGATGATAATGACGATGATGGTTCAAAAAACCAGGAATGATCGAATGATTTGAAAAGGAACTGATGAAATTATTTTTTAAAAAGACTATTTACTTAAATGTAATTTAAATATAATTTTAAATCTCGGTTATAAATCTCTAATTTTATTGAGCACTTTTTATACAAATTCATCTAGTAATTTATATACAAAAAAAATTATAATATTAAAATTGTTAATTGTTTGTTATAGGATGTAATTTATACTGTTTGGATACTAATTACGGTGGTGTTCTAATATTATGGGATCGGCTTTTTGGAACTTTTGCAGAGGAACGAAAAAACGAAGAAATAATTTATGGTTTGGTGGTTAATCCTCAATCGTACAATCCATTGTTTCTCCAGGTTTGTTATAAAATTATTATATGGAATATGGAACGATAGATTATTAGAAATAATAAATTTTCTTTTTTTTGTAGTCTAGAGGTTTAAGCTTTTTCTTTATCTTTGAAGTAAATCATACTCGTATTATTATGATAAAGTTAAGATTTTTTTATCCTATTTTGTGACCAATAATAATTCCAATAATTGTTGTATTAAATATTGTTTGTATAAGATAAAAAAAAAAAGTTGTTCCCATACAATCATATAGAAACAATATATTTTACTTATTATTTCAATGTTAAAAAAAAAGAAAGAAAGAAAGAAAAGAAAAATTTTAAATTGCTCTGAAATTAAATTATGAAAATGAAATTTGTATAACAACTATTAATGCTTGATTAAATATGACTATTATGACTATTTTATTTATTTTTTTTTTTTTAAAGAATTAACGAGTAATTAAGTAACACAATGCTAATAACAATAATGAGGTGAGTTTTAACATCATCAAACGCCTATTCATCTTATAGACAACTTAAAGTATCTTTTCTGACCCGTTACTTCCAAACTTTTATGGTATTTAAACTAATATTTTTTTTCCCTTTATAATAAGTTCGATAACCATCTTTCAGTCGCAAATAGCTTTATAGGTCAGAAAGAGGAGAAATAGTAGTCCTTAAGGTATTTTACAATTTAATGGCATAAAGCACCTTGATAAACTCTCTCAAAATCATACGTCAAATGTATGAACTTGTGAACTTGCAAAAGAGATATGTATTGGCGTTTGTGTAAGGAGATAATCGATGAAAGCCCCGCGATATTTACTGGATATTTAATGGCGCTACTTGCATTTGAGCAGACACGCGTCTTAGCTTCAGCTTACATAAAATTTAATTCTAATTTAAGGTATTCTATGTGGCATCGATGATTGGCCGCAGCCTCGGCATGGGAAATTCGAGAGACAAGTTGGCGGTGTACTGGAAGGGCCCAAGTTGGCAGCCAGGCCTCCCACGCCTTGGCCTTGACGAATTCAAAGTGAACGTAAGACGCAATGACATTAGTATGGACGTATCGATATGACAATAAGCGTGTGAGAACAATTCGCGGCCATCGTGTCTTATTTATAATACGAAAAATAATAGGTAAAACGAGACGGTTTCAAGAGGCCAGAGTGTTGGCACTAGGATAGTTTCGCGAATGGATTATAAGGAAAGTGCATGCATGGCGGGAAAATGGAGAAGTGAAACTTAAATTTTCAGCGATGCATCGAAGCTTTTATTGCCGTTGGAATAATTGTGAGCATTGTTGTTGCAAGCTTTACGAAAATTTGGGCCACCGGAAGCGGCGGTTGTACGATATTGGGATAATTGTGGAGACCGGAGGGTTATTATTATTTTTTGAGACTTTGCTCGAAACAATTGATATTGACTATAATTGAAAAATGAGTTAAATTGAATTTTATGAGTATGGTCGGTGCATTAGAGTGTTGCTTGAAACAATGGAACGCCGTTATAATTCTTAATAATTTCTTAACACTTGTACTAAACAGACTTAATGAGGAGGAGATTTTTATGATTAAGTGAAAGCTGTCGCGCTTAAAAATTCATGAATCTTTACGTCCGTCGGATCTTTTCGTCTTACTACGAAATTGTCAAAAGATATGACTACGTTTCATGCTGCATAAATAATTTCTATAATCCGACATTGATATATATATATATATATATATATATATATATAACATTTTCGGTTTATTTTCCATACTTTTACAATTTATCAATAAAATGCTCTTATATTCATGAACTGTTCAATGATAATTATAGTTAACTTACAAAATAAATGTATTAGGTCACGTCGCGGATCAAATATAATCCGCGAATGTCCAATTGGCAAAATTTCTATATTGTGCTGCACTTTAGCCTTGTACTTTATACACATGTGCAACTCTACGTGGAAAAATTCGTAAGTTTTTTTTTACACTTTTATACTATTTGCAAATATTTATTATTGTTCCTAATATTATTCTTACGACGAATAAATCTAATACCATTTGCCATTTTGTTAAATATATATTTGTAATTAATTTATTTCCATTGGATTATATATCTATATTTAATATATCATTTGACTCATAAAAGTCAAATGCTTACAAAATGTTCTAATGTATTTAATAAGCATTTTCTTTTATTTCCATTTAATTTTTGAGCATATTTTAACAGATTTTAATTCGTTGATTACACATGCTTATTCGATAATAATCGCATAAAATTTCAATATATTAAATGTCAATGAAAGTAAGAAAATGTATGGACTTTATGAATAATTAAACTTTATCTCACGTAATTGTGTGAAAAAGTAAATAAATGAATATTAGCTGACCATGCATATCTGTATTGTTTAATTTCATAAAATTTTGTAATATAATATATTCATAAAACCATAGATTTTCATATTTTCTGATTTCGTACACAGAAAAAGTTGTTTTCATTTTGAATAGATATTTAATTAAAAATGAGTACTCGTTAATATTAGCTGCAATTTCTTTACTTATTATTATTAGTATTATTATTGTTGTTGTTGTTGTTGTTGTTGTTAATATTATTATTATTACTATTATTACTATTATTATTATCATTGTTAACATACCAATTCTAAAATATTATTATTCAAGATAAATTAAATTATTATTCGATTTATCTCGAATCATCGTTAATTATATAATAAACATAATATATATATATATATATATATATATATATATCGATATTTCTTTTTCAGGAAACACAACATATTTTATCGGGCGCAACGATAATCAACAATGCATGCGCCTTAATAATAATAGGTTTACTATTTGATAGATCAAAGTTTGCCAATATACTTGAATTAATAAGATGTTGCAGTTACTTATACTTTTTAAAAAATATTCAAAATTCATTGGTCACATACACTTATGCCGCATCCTGTTGTTTATGGATTTATGATATTTTTAAATTTTTGGCAGTTTGGTAGTGAAAACGTGCAATGCAATAGATGATTTAAAATAATTTTAAAAATAGTTAATTTAGACTTGAAGACCATAGGGAAAAAATGGAGATTCATGAAATAATGAATTTCTATTAAAATGAATGTTTCTGGGCATTATTGCAGATTCCTCAAATTGTTTGGCGATGTTGTATTACTGGGTAATTTGTTTTCGTATTATTTTTAATATATACACATCATATTGAATCGGACATGAATAATACATATTCATATATATGAATGTATATGCGCAGATACTTAAATCTTTTATGATTATCAACCTTTCGCTTTATAACAATTGAAAAATGAATTGCATTTAAATTACATTTGCTTTACAATGTTCATTTGACAAAAATTTAATCACTTACAAAGAATGTTAAAATTAATAAAATTTTGAGCGAAATTATGGTAATTATATTTCGAAATAACTGTTGACTTTAACGTTTAAAAATTTTAAAGTTTATACTCGATTTACAATTATAATTTGTAATAAATATTGTTTTCACAGATTTTGTAATTTTATTCTGTTGTATATTTAGTTTCAGAAGAGTATTTATCACTGTTTAAAACTAAGAACGAATGAAAATCAAATCTTAATTCCCCAGTAGTTTAATATTATTATAATTTGAAAGTTCCACGATATTAATCAATTGTATTAAATGACTCATCCTTTATAGATTTTTTTTTCTTCATTTGTTTACAGATAGGCAAAGCAACCAAACAATCCAAGTTGTTAAAAATCTTACGCAGCCAATGCACAATTAATGCACATACTTACAGAGCCCGCGAATTCCAATGTAATTATTTACATTTAATATTAAAATAGATTTTTAACTGATTTTGTTTTTCTATTTTTATTGCCTCATTAATAAATAAATTGATAAATCGTTGTTAGAATTTATGCGTAAAGTGTGTAAATAACAATGTTCTCCGTTATATATTTCAACATTAATCACATGAGAATACATAAAATTTTGAATAATTTTAATTTATCAATGTGTTGATATTCATAAATTGATCGTTAAACATTTTTTATATAAATCTTTTTCTTTTTCCTTTCGTTAAATACGGATTCTTATTTTAATTAATAATATGTTTATAATTGATCAAATCGAATTACAGTCCCATAATAATTTCAGAGATATGAAATTAAATTAAATAGCTTAACGTCAAACGTAAAGAATTCAAAATGAAATCCTAATCACATTGACGTCTCAAGTATATATATATATATTCTCGTAGCTTTAGAATTAAGCAACTTATCTTTACCAAATAAAACACTTGTCGTGATATGTGTTAGTAAAATGATTTAAATTAAATGAAAGCAAAACATAAATTCCAAATACATATAAAACATGCCATTTTAATAGAGCACTATTATTATACAACTTGAGGACATACAAATAGCATTTCAAAAACATGACGATTTACAAAAGCAATGCACAGAGTCGTACGCATTAATGTGAATAAATAAATGGCCGAGCCATAATTAGCGAATTATATTTTATTAAGTGCGCTTCTCATCTATGTCATTGATTTATTCTTGCATTATTTATTATTTATTAGTTTTCATTGTTTATTATCGTTTATTTTATTGAGTTTCGCCTAAAAATTGATTGGCGATACATTGATAAATCATTAATGTGTGCGGCGCGTCGCAATTTTATATAATATTTTCATCAGTTTTTGTATTGCGCGATTACAAGTTACCGGCATTTCTTCCGTTTCGAGTTGCAGGGAAGCAAGTGCGCTTCGTAGACCAATAATAGACTGTTACATGTAAACAATAATTGCACAAGCGAAAATGCATCGTCAACGAATCTTATATACGCACACTTACTTTACATCCAGTTTCATGAGCATAAATAAATGATAAAGCGATAAGCAGTCAAGAATGGGATTCCATAAACATTAGGCTAAGACCTTTTCAAAAACTTTTTCATAATTTTCCTCCTCCTCGTCCTCCTTACCCAGCCACCCCACGAAACAAGTAAATTATATAAATTCCTTTCTTTTATAAATATATAAAATTTTTAAATATTCACTTACAGCCATTATAGTTTTTAAACACTTATTCGAATATTAATCACAAGACCTCGTAATATTTGTTTATTTCACATTTCACTTTTTATAAACTATATGTATTTTGCATTAATGAAACTGGAGACTGCGTTGATTTCACATTGGAAAACACATGAAGGTCATCCCTACTTCTAATAATAAAATCTAAACACCTCCGTAATAATCTTCAAAAAGGATAATTAATTATCCTTTATTGTGGAATAACGCACGAAATGCAATATTAATATCAGTTCGATTGATTTCTTTTACAAAATACATCGGTTTGTTAAAAATTCTTCGTTTAGTGCGCATTGAAGCTTGTGCATGGAAAACTGATTTCCATTCGCTTAAATGTCCATTCGTGGTACATTCTCTCTCTCTCTCTCTCTCTCTCGCTCTCGCTCTTTCTCTCTAAAACAAAAAAAAAAAAAAAACGAAATATTTATATTAATTTTTTTTTTTAAATTTATATTAATCAATCGTATTAATAATTTATTTTAACAGATCGCATATACTATTTATGTATACAATACGCATATAATAATTTAATTTCAATATTTTATTATAAATTTAATATTTCTATCAAATTGTTGTTGTTTGTCAATAATTTTATTTATTTAGTTCTTTATCACATTATACGTGAAGAAAAAAAGGAAACAAAAATTATTATTTTAACAATTACTGAACAGTCTTATATGGTCAAATTGTTGTGAATTTTTGGTAATAATGTAAATATTTATAATCATTGGTATTACGTGAAAGTACACTTGAAACTACAAATTTTCTACTTGGTAATGAATAATTTTGGATTTTTTTTTTTTTTTTTTTTTTTTTTTTTTTTTTTTTTTTTTATATATAAAAATGTACACTACGAATACTCGAGAAATTTCATATTATTGCAAATACTTAATTGATAAAAAATATAATAGATATTACCTAAGGATAATGTAAATCTTTACATTGAAATCTAACTTTCGCCTATTCTATCCTTCCCTTTTTCTTCTTTATGCGTGTCCTGCGATTCCAGCACAGGAGTTTCCAAACTATCCGACGAGATTCGTCTACGAATACTACATTGTTTGTCTTGTTCTTCTTTGGGATCTTTAAAATTATTTAAGGAATCTGAGCTTAATGACGGATAGTCGAGCGTAGTTTTTAATTCTAAAGAGTCCGAACTTCGACACATAACATTATAATTTTGTCTACCTTCGAGCTCTAACGAATCTGTACTTGTTTCCATCACGTTCATTTCACTTAATCCTCCTGCCGATTCTAAAAATCAAATTCACCTTTAGCAGTAATTAACAATTCTAGATAAAATGATAATAGATTATATGCAACGAGAATATTTTATTGCGCATAATGGCAGTGTGGAATAAGCATCAACGTCAACACAAAATACATAATCTATTATACCATTGGATATATTATATATATATCCATTGGTTTTTGTTTTTGTTTATGTTTTTCTTTGCTTTCTTTGTATAATCAAACGATACTTTATTCTCTATTATAACATTGAATTGCTCTATTAACGGCTGTTTACAAAAATATTATATTCTCACCCTGCGCGACTGATGCTTCAGACGGAATAATCGCGGGAGGTACAACTGATTTATCGCCAGCATCCGTCAATTCCATTTGCGATATATCGTCGTTTGTATCGTCTTGTTTATCAATTTTCTCAACGTTAGCTTGCGCCAGTCTTATTATCTCGTCGATCTCCTTAATACGTTTCTCATAATCATCGGAGCCCGATGTGCTCGGATTGAAGGACTCGGGAGCACTCCCTTGACTTTCGATCTTTGCTCTCGCCAAGTTCTCCAGCTTATATCGATTTTCCGGGCTCTCGTGATCCAACAAGTCCTCTTCCTCCCGAGCTCGAAGCTCGATCATGTGCGCCTCTCGGCACGCCTTCTCCAAGACTTCGAAGTCCTTGACCGACGACAAGGATACGTCGTCACCGAGACCCGATTTGCCAATGATGTATTTCTTCGATAAACTTCCATTACTCGACGAGTCCTGCGAGCCGCTCTGCCGATTGTCACGTTTCTTTGCATTCTCCAGCGCAACCGCGCTCTCCAGGTGCTCGAACTCCTGCAGCGAGCTCAGCGATATATTATCGTGGTCCGTTGGCTTGAAATAGCGCTTAGCCATAAGGGCTTCGTAATTATCGGGAGTACTACCGAAGCTGCCACGCATACTACCGATACTACCGATCGACTCCTTTTGACTGCCTATGCTACCGAAACGACTGCTTCCTGCCTCGAAATCCGTCACTTCTTCCTCCTTGATATCTTCGAGTGGGCCGCGCTCGTACTCCATCTCGTAAAAACGAGCTTCGCTCGGACGGAATTGCATTTCCATCCACTTTTTGCTGCCCTCGTTGTATTGCTCGTCGTCGGAGCACGATTGCGAATATTGATCATCGTTCGATGCTTGTGGTGGACTTTCTTCCGATTCGAAGTCAAAGAGGTCGGCGTTACTGTGCGCCGAATGGGCCTGAGACTTTTGATCCTCTTGCCTCTCGGCTACCAGATTCTCGATTTCCCGATCAAAGCTCTTACCACCGATGTGCGACGCCGAAGTGATACGAACGCCTTTACCTGCGCAATATCAATTGAAGAATTATTATCGCCACGGGCCTATTTTTCTTTCCTACCTAATTTTCATTAGGTAGGATACATGATACAGGTTTGCCTTTGGATTTCAACTTTGGATCCGTTTATGGGAAAGTGATTTTTAAGGACGAATGCGTTGATATAGTCTCGTTTCATTGCTCGAAGCGTCATATTTAACATTAAAGTTCTCACTACCCAACCCACCTCCCGCACTTAATATACGCTTAAAAGTACTTTTATTATTTCTCGCGTCACTTAACTATCGAACGATAGAAATTTTAAGTGTCCCTTTGATTTAGAAAACAACAACAAATGCAAACAAATGCAAAAACAAAAAACAAAAAACAAAAAACAATAACGAAAAAAGTCAATACACTGTCGTTTAGACGCGAAATTTAACGTACGATTATTATCAATGATAGACAAATAATTGATATACCTTCGGCGTCGAATTCCTCAGCCTCGCGACCGACCTCTTCAACTACGATGAAATCATCGATGAGATCGGGCTTATCGACCAGTTCAAACGAGTCGCTATCGGAATTTCTATCCGCATGCTCCTTTTCAATAACCGTTTCCAATGAAACTCCCGACATTGACGACGACGTCATACTTAACTGCTGCTGTAACGATAAACCAGAATTAGGATTAGGATCTTCTGTATTCTCATCGTCGATACTCGATGTTGGGGTATGCTTTATTTCCAAAGAGTCCGCATCGCCCAAGGAACTTTCTCCTTTTCCATCTATTTGCTCCAAAGGGCTTGACGATGGCTCGTCAAGAGGCTCGTGTACGGCCTCGTTTTCTTCATTAAAAATAACTTGAGAAATTGTACTGCGAGCGGTGCTGTTGTCGTTCGTTCGTTCTTGTCTCGTGAAATCGACGTGATCCAATTGAATTTTCAATGGAAGCTTGGCGGAAGTTGAGAGCAACGATCCGTCACTTTCCCTAATATCCGAACTCAATCCCTTGGATAATTGTTCTGTGTTGATCTACGTAACATATTTTATATATATATATATATATATATAAATATAGAAATGTATGGTTATCGTCATCACCCCTCCCCCCACCCCTCCTAAATATGATTTTATCATTATTATATTATTGTTGCATTATCATATTATAATTGCAATTGTTTGAATAACATTTTTTCTCTCGTTTCCATGCTCTTGTCGAGAATTCGAATTCATATTTATATTTATTCCGTTTTACATATCCGTTTTCCTTCTCATTGTTTTTATTTTCAGTTATTTAGTTATAATCATTGTAATGTAATTGTAACTTTCAATTAATTTCTCGTTTTTACAACAATTTCATCGCACGCATAAGGAATTAAAAGAAAAAACTTACCACTTGACTGAAGATCATTTCGCTAGAACGTTTCATCATACAAGGAATATCCGAATCAAATTCGTGATGTGACTTCTCGATTTCATCCTCCGATGTATAATTAGATATTTTCGTATCATCGTCCAGTATATTTTCCAAATTTTCATCGATTTCATCTCCGTCCATCTCCGGCTCAGAGGCTATCAATGTCTCTGATAATTCACTATCTATGCTACCCATTTGCCCGGAGCTTATTGAATTTAAGGATTTCACCGATTCTCGCGAACTCATTGAGCTCACCGCTGTGTGATAATCCTGCGACGTCAATGCCTTTGAGGACGAATGATCGAGTGACATTATTGCCGATTCGTATTCCGAGGCAGTTGTCGAGCTAGCCTGAGCTGCGGATTGAAGAGCCTCGACGTCCGAGGAGCAGGGACGACTGCCACTCTCGTATTCACACGATTGGTAATTACTTTCTCCGCTGCTCGAGACGTCTGCCTCACTTTCCGAAGTGAAATGTCGACGACGACATTGCGAAGATTTTTGTCGACGACGTGGCACTGGTTGTGGTGGTTGTAAAGAGAATGTTTCATCCTTGCTGGTAACTTCGGGATCGGAACCCACGCGAGTTGCGGCCTTCGACGACGAGGTTAATGATTCGACACTTTCCTTCGTATCTTTATACGAACTTTTATCCTCCGATTCACTATCGACTATAATCATTGTTTTACTCTGATCATCATCCAAAGTCTTCATCTCGGCCGAACAATGTTCAGGGGAGCTTTCGTCCTTAATTTCGCGCGTAATTTCGTCATACTCGCGCGGTTTAACTGACGGAGAGGACGGTGAGGATGTAAAGTCGTCGGTATCCATGACTTTGTCCAATGAAGGTGCCTTATAAAGGAAAGGCAATTCATTTGGAATTGATTCTGGCTGCAGTTTAAATTGAAATTCAGATGGAGAGTCCTTGATTTGTATGACATTGTCACTATTTTCACTTAGCTCTTCGATAAGATCTTGTTTAGCCGCTTCGAGATTCTCCTTTACCTCGGCTATTTCTTTTTTTACCACTTGGTCCAGCACCTTGATACCATAGCGCGCGCACGCGTCAACATTCTGAAAGTCCTCCTTCTTCATTTTATATGGGCTTATCTCTTGATGGGACATGTGTAGCTTCTCTCGCTTATCGCTCATGCGTTTATGATCATCCGAGACTTTGGAACGAAAATCAAATTTCCCGTCCCTGTGAATATCCGTTCGTGGCGGCTTCTGAATCCCATGCACTTCACGGGGCTCCCGAACTTCCTTCCTTTCCTCCGGATCAAAGACCTTGTACGATAACAATTCAACGTTATCATGTTTTGCCTCGAGTTCCGTGCTTTTGAGCTCCGTTTTCAGCATAAGCTCGGACGGTACGGGTTGATCTTGAAAATTCTCTAAATTGTAAGACCAATTTTGTTTGTTATTTGCATTATCTCGCTCGAACGTGTCGATTGACTCAACGATTCCCTCAACGCCCCTGTCTGGCAATGTCTCAGCTTTATTAATCGACGTCCCGTCAGTGTCGCTCATTTTCATTAAATCTATAAGTTCTACGGGCTTTTCGACAATGCCCGACGTCTCATTTCCTACGGATTTGTATTTGTCCAAGGACTCGTTTCTCAAATCCACGATTTCTTCACTATGAATTTCATTACCAAAATTCATACATTCGATCAGTGAATCTCGATTGTTCATCGATAATTCTTCGACACTCGATCCCTTCTCTCCCTCGTTCTCCCTCGATCCCTCTGCTCTTTCATTTTTTATTTGTAGGGACGTCTCGAAATTCTCCTCGTATAATTCCATTAAATTACCATCCGTCGTCGGCTCACTAGTACTTGGCAGTGGCTGAAAATATTCATCGACGCTCATAAATTCTTCATTTTCAATAACATTAACAGCCGTTTTTGTTTCAAAGGCCACGTCACTCAACTTTAATTTTTCAAACCTGTCGAAGGCATTAGTTAAAATATCTTCGTCTTCGTCCACCGTTCTAAATTGAAATGACTTTGCGTACATTTCATCGGTTAAACTATATCTTGGCGTTCTCGCATCGTGCTCCTTCTGAAGTGTCTCCATCAATTCCTGACAGCTAACGTCTAACTCGTTTTCAACTAGTTCCCTCTCTATTTCAATGTCCTGCTCGCTTACCGGGACGACGGTGAATTTCGACTTTCCGCTTCCGCTTAGTTCAATATTCTCCTCATCGTCAAATAATTCAAAATTCGTTTTTTCTATTCGCGGTATTGCAAGGGCTTTTGCCTCGACGACTTTCGCGTCGCTTTCCTCGCTCGCCGTTCTAATCGTCGATTCGTACTCTTCAAGCTCTTTCTCAAATGCCTCATACGGCTGCAATTGTTCCGACACTTCTATTTTCTCATCGCCAATCATCCAATCGACGGGTTTAATTTCCAACTCCATTATTTTTGATCTTGGCGAGACAAGCGGCGGGCTTTCGATTTCAAATGAATCCCTCTGTCCTCGTCTTTTCACACAGATATCTTCAACGTTCGACTTACCCCTCTCTCGACTCTCGTCCGCATAAAAATATTCATTATCATTATTCTCGGCAAATCCGAGCGAGTGCGCGTCAAGGCCTTTATTTATCGAACTCAACGAGTCGATCGATAAGCTTTCGCGTAATGCTTCGTCGTCATTTTTTGAGAGCTCCTCGTCATCCAATAAAAATATCGTTTCCACACTATCGTTTTCTGGTTCTAAAATTTCTAAAACCCTGGCTCCTGATAATTCGGAAATAAATTTTCCCTCGACAATCGCACCGGAGCCTAATGCTATCTCATCCATCGATGATAATAATTCTGTGACATTATGTGCTAACGATGGCGGTTTGTTGGCTATTTTCTTCGATTCAACTGCCGTTACATTACCATCGGCACACATTATCACATCGGAGCTTAATTTATCATCCGACAATTTTTCATCGACGTATGCATTTGCGCTATCAACGTCCCTTTCAATGTTGCCTGATTGTTCCATTATGCTTTCAAATTTCCATGTTAAATTATCGGCAAGTACATTCTGAAAACATTCAGACTCAACAGCTCCACTTTCCAGAGGCTGATGTTTTATTGTCGTATTATCTCGAGCGTCAGGACTCGTTACATCGACCGTACATTTTAAATTATCCACCGTACTCTCTTCTACACGTGTACATGTATCATCCGCTTCGTTACGGTCCTCGTCCTTAATATTAATGTCATCGACTTCTCGCTCTAGTTTTATCGACATACCAATTACGTTGACGTTCGATGAGCTCGATGTTTCTTCCGTTAATACGATTTTCTCATCATTTTCTAACGATGTAGTTGATCTTATGCTCTGCTCATCATTTAATCCGCTTTGGATAATTTTCGTGCTCTCGGTCACGTTAACTAATGTCGTGTGCGACGCATTCACGGACATTTGATTTACGGTACTCTCGCCCCCTTCGCTATCTTCATCCGGAGACTTTTTCACTAAAACCGATGCAGAACTCTCGGTCGTTCGAACATCTTTCATTTCCTCGCAGCTAATTATTTTCTCCTGTTTCGTATCGAGCACCGACGACTTAACCTCTTTCCTCTCAACCGAGACCGTAGATTTGCTCAAATCAATTTTAGATGTAAGTAAACTCGTGGTAGACGTAATGCAATCGCCATCCATTAAAGCACCTCCATACTCAAGCTGCTTCGAAGAAATTTCTTTTTCACCTCTAAGAGTTGCTGAAATAGACTCACATTCGCTGCTCTGTTTAGTCATGTGTTTATCATATCCCTGTATCGTCACTTCTTCGTGCTTTTCAGTTTTGGTAATCGTAACCGTTTCCAGTTCTGTTTTCATTGCAAAGTCTTTTCGTGGAGAAGCTTGCGAAACTTTTGTTGGATTTGAGTGTCTTCGAAAACTAGGAATTTCCGAAACAGCGTCTTTCGAAAGGCAGGGAGATTTAGAACATTGTTTACTTGATTCGCCATTATCTTTATGTTTATTAGACACAGTTTTTGATGCATCTTCTTTAGACTTTCTTTTACTTAAATTACTCTTCGCTGAGCTAGCTGGGGTTTTATCAGATATTTGCTTTGACGGAATTTCCATTGCACCATGTCGTGTAATTTCACTTTTTAATTGTTGTTCTTCAAATTTATTTTCAACTTTTTGCCCACTTATTACAGACGATTCGGGCCTTCTTTCGACTAACTTACCAGCATCTTCGCTTATCGATTCTTCATGACCCATAATGGCCATTCCTTTACATTCATCCATTGACTTTTCTTTCTTTGACAAATTCTTTGAAAATTCGTCTTTCGACTTTTGTCTTTTAGGTATAAATTTTGTAGTTATATCTTCCTTCGATTTTTCTCCTTTTACTGTCGATTTTTCAGATGCAACTTCCTTTGCTTTTGACACCGATTTAATAGAAAATTCATCATTTGATTTTTCTCTTGGCGCCACGTTCTTTGATTTCATATCTTTCGCAGGCAATTTTGTAGAAAATTTGTCTTTAGACTTTTCTCTTTTAGGAACGATTGTCTTTGCAATTTCATCATTAGATTTTTCTCTCCGGGGTATCATTGACTTAGGTATTTCACCTATCGATTTTTCCCTCTTCGGTGCTGTCGAGGGTAATTGTTCTTTACTATCGTGTGATGGAGATTTTATAGAAAATTCATCTTTAGACTTTTCTCTCTTTGGTATCATCGATTTTGGTATTTCACCTATCGATTTTTCCCTCTTCGGTGCTGTCGAGGGTAATTGTTCTTTACTATCGTGTGATGGAGATTTTATAGAAAATTCATCTTTAGACTTTTCTCTCTTTGGTATCATCGATTTTGGTATTTCACCTATCGATTTTTCCCTCTTCGGTGCTGTCGAGGGTAATTGTTCTTTACTATCGTGTGATGGAGATTTTATAGAAAATTCATCTTTAGACTTTTCTCTCTTTGGTATCATCGATTTTGGTATTTCACCTATCGATTTTTCCCTCTTCGGTGCTGTCGAGGGTAATTGTTCTTTACTATCGTGTGATGGAGATTTTATAGAAAATTCATCTTTAGACTTTTCTCTCTTTGGTATCATCGATTTTGGTATTTCACCTATCGATTTTTCCCTCTTCGGTGCTGTCGAGGGTAATTGTTCTTTACTATCGTGTGATGGAGATTTTATAGAAAATTCATCTTTAGACTTTTCTCTCTTTGGTATCATCGATTTTGGTATTTCACCTATCGATTTTTCCCTCTTCGGTGCTGTCGAGGGTAATTGTTCTTTACTATCGTGTGATGGAGATTTTATAGAAAATTCATCTTTAGACTTTTCTCTCTTTGGTATCATCGATTTTGGTATTTCACCTATCGATTTTTCCCTCTTCGGTGCTGTCGAGGGTAATTGTTCTTTACTATCGTGTGATGGAGATTTTATAGAAAATTCATCTTTAGACTTTTCTCTCTTTGGTATCATCGATTTTGGTATTTCACCTATCGATTTTTCCCTCTTCGGTGCTGTCGAGGGTAATTGTTCTTTACTATCGTGTGATGGAGATTTTATAGAAAATTCATCTTTAGACTTTTCTCTCTTTGGTATCATCGATTTTGGTATTTCACCTATCGATTTTTCCCTCTTCGGTGCTGTCGAGGGTAATTGTTCTTTACTATCGTGTGATGGAGATTTTATAGAAAATTCATCTTTAGACTTTTCTCTCTTTGGTATCATCGATTTTGGTATTTCACCTATCGATTTTTCCCTCTTCGGTGCTGTCGAGGGTAATTGTTCTTTACTATCGTGTGATGGAGATTTTATAGAAAATTCATCTTTAGACTTTTCTCTCTTTGGTATCATCGATTTTGGTATTTCACCTATCGATTTTTCCCTCTTCGGTGCTGTCGAGGGTAATTGTTCTTTACTATCGTGTGATGGAGATTTTATAGAAAATTCATCTTTAGACTTTTCTCTCTTTGGTATCATCGATTTTGGTATTTCACCTATCGATTTTTCCCTCTTCGGTGCTGTCGAGGGTAATTGTTCTTTACTATCGTGTGATGGAGATTTTATAGAAAATTCATCTTTAGACTTTTCTCTCTTTGGTATCATTGACTTAGGTATTTCACCTATCGATTTTTCCCTCTTCGGTGCTGTCGAGGGTAATTGTTCTTTACTATCGTGTGATGGAGATTTTATAGAAAATTCATCTTTAGACTTTTCTCTCTTTGGTATCATCGATTTTGGTATTTCACCTATCGATTTTTCCCTCTTCGGTGCTGTCGAGGGTAATTGTTCTTTACTATCGTGTGATGGAGATTTTATAGAAAATTCATCTTTAGACTTTTCTCTCTTTGGTGTCATTGACTTAGGTATTTCACCTATCGATTTTTCCCTCTTCGGTGCTGTCGAGGGTAATTGTTCTTTACTATCGTGTGATGGAGATTTTATAGAAAATTCATCTTTAGACTTTTCTCTCTTCGGTATCATGGACTTCGGTATTTCACCTATCGATTTTTCCCTCTTCGGTGCTGTCGAGGGTAATTGTCCTTTACTATCGTGTGAAGGAGATTTTATAGAAAATTCATCTTTAGACTTTTCTCTCTTCGGTATCATGGACTTCGGTATTTCACCTATCGATTTTTCCCTCTTCGGTGCTGTCGAGGGTAATTGTCCTTTACTATCGTGTGAAGGAGATTTTATAGAAAATTCATCTTTAGACTTTTCTCTCTTCGGTATCATGGACTTCGGTATTTCACCTATCGATTTTTCCCTCTTCGGTGCTGTCGAGGGTAATTGTCCTTTACTATCGTGTGAAGGAGATTTTATAGAAAATTCATCTTTAGACTTTTCTCTCTTCGGTATCATGGACTTCGGTATTTCACCTATCGATTTTTCCCTCTTCGGTGCTGTCGAGGGTAATTGTCCTTTACTATCGTGTGAAGGAGATTTTATAGAAAATTCATCTTTAGACTTTTCTCTCTTCGGTATCATGGACTTCGGTATTTCACCTATCGATTTTTCCCTCTTCGGTGCTGTCGAGGGTAATTGTCCTTTACTATCGTGTGAAGGAGATTTTATAGAAAATTCATCTTTAGACTTTTCTCTCTTCGGTATCATGGACTTCGGTATTTCACCTATCGATTTTTCCCTCTTCGGTGCTGTCGAGGGTAATTGTCCTTTACTATCGTGTGAAGGAGATTTTATAGAAAATTCATCTTTAGACTTTTCTCTCTTCGGTATCATGGACTTCGGTATTTCACCTATCGATTTTTCCCTCTTCGGTGCTGTCGAGGGTAATTGTCCTTTACTATCGTGTGAAGGAGATTTTATAGAAAATTCATCTTTAGACTTTTCTCTCTTCGGTATCATGGACTTCGGTATTTCACCTATCGATTTTTCCCTCTTCGGTGCTGTCGAGGGTAATTGTCCTTTACTATCGTGTGAAGGAGATTTTATAGAAAATTCATCTTTAGACTTTTCTCTCTTCGGTATCATGGACTTCGGTATTTCACCTATCGATTTTTCCCTCTTCGGTGCTGTCGAGGGTAATTGTCCTTTACTATCGTGTGAAGGAGATTTTATAGAAAATTCATCTTTAGACTTTTCTCTCTTCGGTATCATGGACTTCGGTATTTCACCTATCGATTTTTCCCTCTTCGGTGCTGTCGAGGGTAATTGTCCTTTACTATCGTGTGAAGGAGATTTTATAGAAAATTCATCTTTAGACTTTTCTCTCTTCGGTATCATGGACTTCGGTATTTCACCTATCGATTTTTCCCTCTTCGGTGCTGTCGAGGGTAATTGTCCTTTACTATCGTGTGAAGGAGATTTTATAGAAAATTCATCTTTAGACTTTTCTCTCTTCGGTATCATGGACTTCGGTATTTCACCTATCGATTTTTCCCTCTTCGGTGCTGTCGAGGGTAATTGTCCTTTACTATCGTGTGAAGGAGATTTTATAGAAAATTCATCTTTAGACTTTTCTCTCTTCGGTATCATGGACTTCGGTATTTCACCTATCGATTTTTCCCTCTTCGGTGCTGTCGAGGGTAATTGTCCTTTACTATCGTGTGAAGGAGATTTTATAGAAAATTCATCTTTAGACTTTTCTCTCTTCGGTATCATGGACTTCGGTATTTCACCTATCGATTTTTCCCTCTTCGGTGCTGTCGAGGGTAATTGTCCTTTACTATCGTGTGAAGGAGATTTTATAGAAAATTCATCTTTAGACTTTTCTCTCTTCGGTATCATGGACTTCGGTATTTCACCTATCGATTTTTCTCTCTTCGGTGCTGTCGAGGGTAATTGTCCTTTACTATCGTGTGAAGGAGATTTTATTGGAAATTCATTTTTAAACTTTTCTCTCTTCGGTATCATCGACTTTGGTAAATCACTTAAAGATTTTTCCAGCTTGTGTGTTGTTATTGTTAATTTTTCTTCTTTATTAATAGTCGGAAGAGATTTTAATAAAAATTCATCTTGAGATTTTTTACTTAGTGCCACTTTTAATTTTAATTTTTCTTCTTCAGATTTTTCATTGTTTATTAATTTTTCCATTTGCGATTTTGTCAATTTTTCATTTTGTATATCCATATTTAATGAATATTCGTCTTTATAATTATTTTTCTTTTCGATAAAGGTATTTGTCGTGTCCTCCATTGATGTTTCTCCCTTTAATGAAGTATCTAATATACTTGTTCCTTTTTCTTCTTGAGATAATGATTTTAATGAAACTTTATCCTTTAATATTTCTGTGCTTAGAATCATTGATTCTGGTGTATCATTCAAAGATTTTTTTCGTTTTGCTTTTACATCTGGAACGTTTTTAGACATTTCTTGATTTATCGTCGATTCTGGTATGTCTGTTTGTGACTTTAAAATTTTGTCTGGAGATGTTTCTTGTTTCGGTAATGTTTCTTGAATAAGCTTTTGTTGTTCTTTTTGGGGAATAGTTTCCAATGAACATTCATCTTTAGCTATTCCTGTAATTGGTAACATTGCGTTCGTTACCTCTTCTGTCGACGTTTCTCGTCTTATCTCTAAGGATAATAATGGTTTTTCCTTACGATCATGGAGAGGAGTTTTAATGGAATATTCATCTTTCGTATCTTTTCTTCTTGGTATCATCGATTTAGAAATTTCATCAGCTGATTTGACCGCTGTGTTTATTGTTATTGATTTTTGTTTTTCTTCCGTAATTCCAGCTATTTCCTTTGTTAAAACAGTATGTTTTTGTTCATTTATATGAGTACATAAGCTTTCTTGATCTATCTCTGTGTTTGTTAATTTACTATTTAAATCCTTGGATAGATTTTCGGATGAACCTAGAAATGATAAGTTTGATGTTTCATTATTTCTATAGATTTCCGAATCCACTTGTTTTATTTCCTCTAATTGAGAATTAATATCAGCCGATATTATTGATTCTTTTTCTATTATATCTATCGATACTTTTGATTCTGTGTCTGTATGTTTTTCTATATTATCTCGTATTTCTTTGGACTTGTCTATAGCTGTTGTTGCAATATTTTTTTCTGACTGGGCTGCAATTAATGATTTTGATGTATCTGAAGATGCAAAATCTACATTAGCAGATAATGATATATCCGTTTCTAGAGTATCAGGTTTTATTATTTTGGATGGGGATTGAATCGCTAATTCTTTTTTGTTGTCTATCAAACCCTGTTTCGATAAAGAAACCGTGTCAGCTTTAATTTTCTCATTTTTTTGTGAAAACTTATCATCTTTAGATTTTTCTTTTGTTTGAAATGAAGATTTAGATACTTCGTGCTTAATGGATTCTTTTTTTATCGACGATTTTTCAGATGTGAACTCTTTTAATTTGTGCTGCATAGATTTTGACGGTATTGTGTCTTTTAATTTTTCGGATTTTGGTGAAACTTTACTCGATACCTCATCTTTAATTTTTTCGCTTTTAGGTGGTGATTTGGGAAGTAAGCCTTCTTTAGGTTTTTCTTTCTTTGGTGGAGATTTAGCAAGTGCGTCTTCCTTCGACTTTGATCGCATCAATACATTTTTAGGTGATGTTTCTTCCTTAGATTTCTGCTTCATCGACGTTGATTTTGGTGATGTTTCTTCTTTTACTTTAGCTGATTTAGTAGCAATTATAGGGGTTTGTATACCAGCTGCTTTTTGTTGTTTTGTCGCAACATTTTCTTGCATTTTCGTTGCTTTGGGTTTAATTTCTTTCTCAACATCAGATTTCGTAACAATTTTAGATTTTATTTCGTATTTTGTAATTTTTTGATTATCAGGCGTATCAATTTTATCGAGGACAATTTTTTTACTCGTTTTTGTAATTGTTTCTTTGGTAACTATGTCTAATTTCAATTTTTTCAAAGTGGCAGTCTCGGTGTACTTTAATTCCTCCTTCGTATTCGTATGTTTTTCACTATCTTTCTTTTCACTTTCACTTTTCAGTACTTTGCCATCCTGATTTTTCTGCTTTTCATCTCTACATTCTTTTTTCAAACTTTTCTTTTTTTCAAATGAATCATTAGCATCCTTACTTTTCTTTTTATCGTCCTTCTTCATAAATTCATCCCTATCGATGCGTTTATTATCCTTCATATCTTTAATATCAGACTTACAATCGGTCAATTTTTTCTTTTCGTCGTTTTCCTTCTCACCCTTTTCCATAATATCATCTTTTTTCTCTTCACTTCTTTCATCCCATGTCTTGGCCTCTACTTTTTCTACTTTCTCGCTAGTTTTCATTTGTTGTCTCGCCCTCTCTTCGAGAATCCTTTCGGTTTCCTCAAATACCTCGAGCGACTTATCATCTTCACTGGAAATAGATATTCCAGATAATCTAGCTCGAGAAATTCTCGCTGATTCTTGAGATGATTGACTCTTTAATGGCCCTCTTGCTGCAGTGAATTCTTTTTGTATTTGTTCTTCAAAATAGTGAGCCTTTTCAGCAACTGTACACTCCGACATATCAACAGTTGGATCAAAGTCGAGTAGATTCTCACCTTCGCTATAATTTTTATTGTACTCTTGAGCTTCGGTAAGATACATGTTTTCGTCATCCTGATCAGTGGATTGGTATATTGTCGATAAATCAGAGTCAATGCCTTCGAAGCCTTCGCCCTTAGTACGTGCTATATCCTCCCAAAAGCGGCGCTTCTCAGAATAAGTTTTCTTTTCATGTATCAATGATGATTGTTCAATTTCTTGTGCAGAATAGCAAGCATCTATAGATTGTAAGGGAGTGGTAGATTGATCTTTTTGAGCTAGCAGGCTACCAACAGCATCTAAAACAAGTAAAAACAGATTCGTGATCGTGTTACAAGACTTTCACCTAGATTATCCACCCTTTAGCATTTTATCTTTAAATTCGCTAAGAAATCTGTTATATAATACTTAACAATAATAATTACGTCGTTAATTAATGTTGCTTGATAGATTTTTAAATAGATTTATACAAATGGTATCAGCAATGTTTACTTAACAAGCACTATTTGTAATTAAGTTATAATTATATTAATTTTTAGCTTGATTCAATATAATATTGTTTAATGGTAAAATTAATTTTCAATTCGAGCTCATTACAGCTTTTCAATACTACAAAATAATTGTCAATTTTTCATGAAAATGAAACAGATCAATTCTTATCTAATCTAAAAGGAATCGTAGTTAAGATAATGATAATTTTTTAGCGAATTGCGATTTGTTGTAACAGTTTTTTTTTTTTTTTTTTTTTTTTTAAATTAATAAGAATTCCGTACATAGTTTCAACGTAATCTCATTTATTTCACTTAAGAAGTTTTACATCAACAGAAACAGCACCTGCATATAGGCTGCATTCGTCGCTACACGATCACAAAAGTCTCCCGTAAAAATGCATCTCGGAGAAGATGGAGGGCTAACAAAGCAGTAATTCTCTACTTTTATACTTTTTAACTGACAATATACGTAAACTTGAATATATGATTTTCTTCACACTAATAATAAATGTACACACACATATATATATATATATATATATATATATATAGATAAATATTTTATATACACAACGATCTCATAAAACATATTTATACATTTAGATACTTCAACAGCGATAATAGATTATATATAATTTTTAAACTGATTCACTTATTGTACAATCGAGTTTTAGAATTCAACAGTAGTCGAACAAACGATAGTCGCAACTTATTGAAAAAATTGTTTTACTTTCGTAAATACAGTTATTTTTTCCTTTTCTTTTTTCTTTTTTGTTTAAATTATTGTAAATATCATAGCATTATTCTCAATAAAAAGTTAAAGAGCATATTAAACATATTTACGAAGAAAATAGAATTGAATGCATTATTCATGCAACTAGATTTTTTACTTTTATAAAAATATTAGTGAACTTATTCACATGTAATTCATCTATGAATAGTATAATGTAGATTTTTTTTTGTTTTTTTTTTTTGTTTTTGTTTTTGTTCATAACTAGACTAGAGCGCTTAATATCCCATTTTGTTGCCTCTGAGAATGTTGAGGACGGCAGTTCTGTCTGCAATCAACATATAGATATAAAGGGACTTTAGAGCATTAATTTCCAAGCAATATAAAACAACATATTGTTCTAATTTCAAGAACTATTTTTTCAATAATAATATGTCACATATAATATTCAATATAATATTTTGCATTATTTATGTACATGCTAGATGAAATTATTAATGAGTGAATGAATGGATGTTAAAATTAATTTTGCATATACTTTTTCTTATAATCATATTATTATTTAAATGACTATAGAAGCTAATATGAGTACAAAACAAAACAAAAGAATCATTCCGATACATGTTTATAATGCCTTATCGCGAAATAATTAAAAATATACTATGTTTTGTATAAAAATGCGGCGTAAAGATCAATTGGATTTTATTGTAGGATTTACTATACTCTTATAGTTTTACAAGACTAGTATATTATATTTCATTTATAAACTATGAAACTTTATGAATATGTATAAGAAAAATTTGCGGTCAATAATTTTTATCAATTACATAAATAATTTAAACTTTCGTCATTCGATATAGATATTCTAATTCGTGAAAGTGTTAATATAGTTAAATATATCATTATTCTTAATTTTTCCATAATTTCTTTGGTCTTTTCTTTAATGCTATTACAATTTTAAAAAAATATTAATTTATCGTTAAGCTTTACGTTCGCAAATAATATGTAAAATCAATATTTCACTTACAATTTAATGAACAAATGAAATTAATGTCAATTTTGGGAAAACGTATATTAGAGCACAAAGTATTATTCTTATCATTAATTATATTAAAATTATTTTCATTATTAGTATGAAAATTTTTTGAAAAATTTTAATTTCTCGTTAAGCCTATATTGCAAATAATACGTAATTGATAGTACAAAAAAAAAAAAAAAAACAACAAAATTTAACGTATTATGATACTAACAGTTTTAATTAATATTTGACTTATAATTTAATAATGAAATAAAACACACAAAATACAGCACAAAAGATTATTCGTATGTAGATAATAAATTTTATAATCACTACATGCTATTCATGATTAGGTTAACTTATATTTATTACCAAAGTAAATCAATATATTAATGCATAAACATTTTATTGAATTACTATTAAAGTTCCAAGCCATATCGTGTTATATGAATTATAAAGTAATTTTATATAAGATAGGCTGTAATTTATAAACATCGTGTATGATTTTTTAAATAGAAAATATCATTTGGATCATTTGGATAAAATTTTAATGATTATTTTTGTTTGATTAATGAAATTAATCAGGAATTAAACAGAAGGATTACTGTTATATATTATGTATTACTGTTATATATGTTCATAAAAAAATAATTTTTATATAAATATTAAGAATTCTTTTCTGTACTATACGAAGTAGATATTTATAATTTTGTGTAATTAACCAACTAGGGAAACACTATTATTCCTAAAAATAATTATAGTTTCATAGGTAAAGATAAAGCTTTGAATTTTTATAATTTAATTAGGAAAAAAACTATGGTCTTGTTATTAACGTAATATACCATTGGAAATGTAAATTGTTATATTATATTAAATATGAAAACAACAAATAATTGGGGCAGATTGATAAGTAGATAGAGAGTACTTTGATTTTTACTTATAATCATTAATCGATAGCTTCTTACATACGTGTCAAACCATTTTTATTCGCAGACTAAATAATTAGAAAGGCGTTTGAATCGTGCGAAAATGTGCCTGTCAAGTGCCCACGAGAACTACTGTCTATTCAATGTCTTCGATGTCGGTGGGATTATCGCTAAGGCCATCGTCAAATTCTTTAACAGACAAGAGTTGTTCCATTTTATTAACGTTCTTCATGACAGTTTGCGAGGCGTCCAATACATCGAAATTCTCATAAGCCACGTGATGTCCACATGCCTCATCCACTTTATCGTCATCATCCGATGCTTCCATATCTTCGCTATCTGTTGTCGGTAGGACCACAATATCCGGCCTATCTGAAATCACTTTACTCTCATCTATTGACATCTGATTTCGGACTTCGACGGAGAAGGGCCCATCACCCTCTTTAGTCGTTATGGTTTCACCATTAAAATCGCAGAAAATATCGGCCCTAGGCGTTATGTATATCGGCGCCTGGATCACCTCTTCTTCATCATTCGACATATCCTCCAAATCTGTTTCACCTTGATGAGGAATATCGCCAACGACCAAGTTACCCATAGTCAAAGCTACTCTACTACGTCTCCTATCGAATCTCTCGTTATTTTCAGGCTCGCTTGTATATATCTCATCAACGTCCGTGAGATTATCAATAAAGCTACCCCGACGAGCACTACCGCATGAAGAATCATCGCTCCCATCCAAAGTCACCGATATCACAGGACGCAAGAGATCACCCTCGTTAAAGCATTTCAACGGCATATTTGCATTGTTATTTGTTATGGAAATGCGAGGGGTTGTAAGTTCACCCTCGGAGTCCGTGTCGGAGAAGTGGAGGGACGTATTATTGATCATAGCATTGAGACGACGGCGGGTTGAACGTGCCTTACGTTTTGTTTTGACGCTCGTCGTGGTATTAGGTATATGTTTCTTATTGCCCGAGAGACAGCATCTCGATATGTCACAGTTACCGTTAACAGAGTTATCTATTTGACAGTTATCGGACGATATGACTACGTCTGGGAATGATGCGTCCTGAGCAGTTTGCTGCATTTTGTTGTCTTTTAAACGGCGAATGGTTTGCGATTAAGAAGGGTAGTTGGCTCGGACTTTAACTATTCTCGAACTCGAAGTAGGGTATTATTAAGGGAGTAAGTAAATGAACCTGAAAAAAATCAAAATAAAAAGTAGTTTTGAAATAGGGAGATTTTCGATATGAGTGGGCATTAATGTCAAGAAACTCTTTTTAAATGATAATAAGATAAACGTACTAAAAAAAAAAGAAACAAGACAATAGATATATTTTCAAACGTTCAAGTTACATAATGAAGATGAAGTTACAAAAAGATTCAATAATAAATAGACGTTGAAGAAAAAAAAGTTTCTATATAGGAATGAAAGTATTGCGTCCTAACTATTTATGCTCGTTTATTGAAACGTAATATCAAGTTGAACATTCTTATATAACTTCATAGATTATTACACATTTGAAAATTAGTTTTTTTTTTCATTTATTTTAAGCTTCCTGTATTTCAAGTCAACTAAACATATTACTAAGCACACGAGTTAACTAAACGTAGAAATAAAAATATATTTCCTTACTTTGCATAAATATTGCGATTACGTATACTGAAATTTTTTCCGCGCATATATATATATATATATATATATATATATATATATAAATAAATAGAATATTTAAATATAATATATAATATTATCGATTTACTAGTCAAGCCGAAATTTATAGTAATTACCCGCTAATTATGTAGAAGCCTTAAATTTCAAGAACATAACATTCTACGTATATATATATTTGAATTATATGAAGCTTTGTGCAACTTATTTGGTTTCAATAAGACATAATATATAGGAATCAATTATTTCTTCTTCCAATAAAAATGATTCTATATAATGATCACAATATATGATTCATCATAAAGCGATAAACTACAATTAAAAAATATATTATCGGCGAAGAATGTTAAAATAATGGAATAAATAAATAAACTGAAATTAAAATCAAGTACATCCATAAATTTGATTTGCATTTAAAGATTTTAGTAACGAAATTAAATCAGAGATAGAAGTATTTGAAATAAATTTTGTCGGATAATTATTTTAAAATATTAAGACTTTTAACAACTTATAAAAGTATAATGAAATGAATTATAATTAACGAAATACTTTGGCAATTTAAGCTTAACTTAAAAATAATATTGTCATGATACCGAATTTTGTGGAGAAACTTATTACAAATTAAATGGAAAAAGTAACACGCGAAAGAAGTCTATATTAAATAAAAATTTCATCATATAAATATCGATCATCTAACAATAAATTACAAATGCTCTATGAAAAATATTCTTATTATATAATAATAAAATAATAATAATAAACGTGATATTATAATATTGAAAGTAAATGATTAAATAAAAATATTTTTTAAATTAAATTCCGTTGTACTATTTAATAGTAATGATATAAAAAAATAATTTATAAATTCAATATGATGAGAAAAAAATTTTTTCATTGAAAGGTTGAACATTTTTAAGATTAATAATTGTACAATTTCTATTCTGCAAAGAATGATAAAGTTCAATGAATTGTACAAAGAAGTAATAAATAAAATATTTTTCCTCATTGAATTGATTCCTCATTAATAATTCATTTTTAAAAATTAGTGCGTGGCCAATATAATAAATGATTTAAAAAAATTACTTTATAATTATTTTATAAATAATTATTTTTATATAATATATTTATAACTCAAAAGTAGTTTCACTTTATAATTAAAAGTTAATTCGTATCATTTTTACTAAAAAATTACTATAATTGGAGAATTAACATAACAACTAAATTTCATATTGAATTGTTTAAAATAATAGAAAAATTAAATAAAATTCATTTTCAATTTTGTAAGACTTTTACAGCTATTTATTGTCTTAGGAAGTATAACTTATCGTGTTGTAATTAATTACTTATCGTGTTATCAAATGATTAAACGAGTTATTACCAAAGTTTTTCATTTTCATAGTGCACTTGCTTTTAAAAAAATATTGAATCACATAATTTACAAAAGAAAATTAGTAAAAAATTCGCGTATTAAAAGATGAAAAATATACTTACTTTTCTTTTTCTTTTTTTTTTTTTTTCAAGTATGATCTTATAAAATAACAGCAAAATTCAAACAGACTAATTTCCAAAAACCCAACAACTTTCAAGCGAGCATCTGTTAATTTGTACTTTATATTTGTAAAGAAATTAGTTTGATGTGGTCGAGGGTCAGTCGATAACTACAAAGCTAATACTAACATCTTGCGGGCATTTATTGATGCTCTTACGAGTAATTGAATTATGTGAAACCTTATGCCACACGCACACACACACACACACACACACACACACAAAGCTATAAGTTGATTAGCCTTTTCCTTTCAAATGGAGAAAAAAAAATAGAAGAATGACAAATAGTAGTCACTACATGCACACGCGCTCGCTAAGGAATTTTACTTTTAGCTCATTTGATAAAATCCATTATATACGAAATATTTTATTGGATCAAGACTTGTATTATATTTTTATTTTGTACTTTGTTGTCTTATTGCAATAAGTGTAAATGGTAGTATTTGAAATAGAAACCTTAACATAAGATTAAGGACATTTGTGTAATTATATATATATATATATATATATATATATATATATATATATATATAATAAAAAAAAAAAAGACTCAAGTGTTAGTGAATGGAGAATCTGTGAAAAATAAAAAACATAAGTTGTGTACGAAGACTTTTGTTTTGTTTTCTTTTTTTTTTTTTTTGTTTTTTACCGTATTTTATGAATTTATCGCTTCCGCCGAAATTATAGGGTCTCATTTTAAATATTAATTGGACCCAATTATTATTAAAACAATTAATAAGTGTAATTTTTCCATCAGGCTATCTACATTACGCATTACAATTACAATATACAACCTCTTATTGTACACTTTATTTACATGAAATGATAGTATACATGAAAATTTATGTATGTATATGTACATTGAATGAGATTTAAAATACCTGTTGTTCGTTCTTTTTGCTGAGTGTCGGCAATAATTTTCATTTCAAGAGGTGAAGTGTACTTGGGTCGATCACTTTTCTCTTCATTATAATCAATTTTATAAGACGACTTCAACAAATCCATTTTTTGATTTATAATATTCGAATCTTCGATATCTAAGAAAATAATTAAATACCTTGCATAAGAATTTTTTTTTTTTTCATACAACGTGTATAAAAATATACATCTAAAAATTACAATTATCTTTAATTATTACATTATTAGACTTGCAATTATTACATCATTACATATTATAAATTTAAATAAAATTACACTATTACTTTTTATAATATTAAGTTTGTAATATTTTTTAGTTGATTAATGTAATAATTAATTATTGTGCGACGAGAAGCAAATGTTTTAATTACAATTTAAATTTTATCGAAATAGAAGAAAAAGAAAACATAAATATAGAAATTGATCATAAAATCAATGTATTCTGGACTTAAATCTATTTGACTTTCAATTAAATACATAAATAAATCATAAAATGGATTCCAACGGTCTTTGCTTAATCTCTATGAGCATACTTATACCAAATTCAATTAGAAATACTTTATATCGATATTATCTGTCTTATATTATAACTAAAATTTCATCGCAGTATTTTTAAAACAATTACGAGATTGAATTACTAAATGAATATTATATAATTAATAATGAAAAATGTAGAAAAAAAAAATATGACGAAAAAATACATAAAAATATATGTAATTAAAGTAAGAAAATTCATTGAAATATTATCTAAATTTTTTAAAATTAGAGAGAAAACGTTTTATATATTTAGTTTTTTTTTTTTTTTTTTTTTTTTTTTTTTTTTTTTTTTTTTATATCAGATCTATATCTATTTCTCGTTAGAAAACATTATACTTAACAAGTAATTATATATTAAATTTCCAAAGCTTACGGCGATTTATATTCCAATGGTAGCGATTATGAATAGTTAAAAGCTCGTACCTTGACGTTTTGAATTAAGTTTAATTTCCGGAAGAACGATGTTCAATATACAAAGAGGCTGTTGTGCTGGGTCTCCTTTAGCAACTTTTGGTTCTCTCATGAACATCATTCGAGCAACAGGATCCAATTGAGAGTCCTTAATTTTTACATGGAATGAGAGTCGATTTTGTCGGAAGGCTTTGAATGTGAATTTGAGTTGTACTCCGGACTTGGTCACCGGGACTAAATTACCGCTAAATTCTATATAAAGATCTTTGCCGTCGAGCGTCTAGAGTAGATACATGTACATGTATATATAAATTTTTTCTTTTTTTTTTTTTCTTCTTTTAAATAATTTAAATAACAGAAACTCGTGAATGAATGGATCGAGCTCGTGCATTATAGTCATTAGTTTTATACGTACTTCGACGTCACGGCTTTTGACTATCTCTGCAAACTCTTCTTGCTTCTCCAAAGTATGAATTTCGTCTTTACTATCCGTCATACACAAGATTCTTAAAGTCGCTTCAATTTCTTCCATTCGTTTCGAATAAATAATGAAACTAAAATGAAATGCGATTTTTACGCTTTAAATATTCAAGTGTACATTCGGTATATTTGAGATTTTATCGAAAATCTCGCTATTACGGATCTAACAAACAAAAAATTGACTTCTAATATTTTTGTGGCTGTAGATCTATGAAAGTGTGCGTTTTACATTTTAATGAAAAATTGTAAGAAATTAACCTTTGTGAAATCCTTGGAAACGCTTGGTTCAAGTTCTTACTTACGCATAATATAAAAAGAGTTCACATGTGTTCAGGAAGTTTCTTTTATTGAACGTAAATTAGCCCTTGTGTCGGCGACTCACTTAGTAATGAAGGGTACATATAGCGACTCTCGGTACAAATCCGTGGCCATCTTGGGCACCTCCTGGATATTTCTGCAGTCCATGAGCCAGAACCTCGCGGAGACGGTTGTCGTGAATGAAACGCGATCGTTCATGAAGTTGAGGGGCGTCGAGCCGGTCACGTCCTCCCATTGGGCCTCGCTCGTGCCACCAGCGATGCTGCAGAGGAGCCGAAGTGTCGGCGTCTCACCACCATAATGATTAATCATGCCCTTATTGACAGCTTGAGGTACAGGCAGTGTCAGGCTAATCGGCTTGTGGAACTTGCGACGACGTGGTTCGATCGTTATAACGGGCGAAACGGCCACGCAGTTGCCAAGTAATTTGGCCGTGAGCTCAGCGGGTATTACGTGCGCCTGCAAATAAGAACCTTTGCTTTTTATTTTTTTTCTCCCTCGTCGTCTTCTTCTTTGGCGGAAGATGACGCGCAGCGCGACCGCGTATCGCCGAGAAATTATTGGCAAATTCGCGTTAACGCGTAGTTTCACTAAATCTTTATGAATTTCCTTCGTTCTCGAGCTTTCGAATTCATTCGACTGAGAATTCCAATGTGCTCGTCCAGTTTCATCTAAGAGCCATTGGTGCATCTATTTCGTTGCTTTAAGAACGCAATAAAATTCTTATTTTTTTTTTTTTTTTTTTTTTAAATCGAGCGTACAGTGCGTTATTTGTTGATAAAATTTATTATTATCGAGTACTGTAGCAGTACTTTTGCAATAAGCTTCAACGATCAACGAGTGTAGGGACGCTAAGCGCTTGGAACAAAAGATTTGTTATGAGCGTCATAATGGAAAATGTACAGACCTGCAGGCCAACTTTAATTTTTTTGGTCAATGCACCAGGTGGAAAAACTGCCTGCACTTGACTAGCGACGCTTGAAATTAAAATCCCACCTTCGGCACCGATCACGTGAACTTCTTGCTTAATACGAGTGACAATTGCAAAATATTGTGGAAACTCGGTGGTTATTATTCTTGTTATCCTACCCGAGTACGTCGCGCTCATTTGCACATCTGAAAAAAGGACATAAACTAGTTAGGCGGAACATTTATTGTGCGAAAATACACCTAGGCTCGCCTAAAATAATATTCAATACCGTATGGAGTGTTCAAAAGCGTGTCGTCGTTATCGACGGAATTGTCATGCTCCTTCCAAGTTTCTCCATTTTCACTTCGTAGAATAATAATTTCTCGTTCTTTGTCGCGCACGGAGGCGAAATGTGGTATATCGATTAAAACGGGCCTGAAATCCAACGACACATCAATTAATCACTAAACCATACAATTACGATAATCATGAATTTCACCTTTCCATTGTTTATTAAACACTTGGCGTGCACAAGTATCATCCGACCTTTCAATGACGGATGAAATGTCTTTTACGCTTAATTTTAAAGCTCGACATAATTACAACATCCAAACATTAACATTTGATAATATACGTTGATAATATAGTCGATAAAAGGGCTTATAAATGAGCTATGCTATCGATATTCGTATAAAATTATTAAAAGGTCAGGAGCCATTGTAAGAGCCATTGTTTAAAGAAATAAGACAGAAAGCCAAGAGACAGACCCTAAGAAGGATGCCCCGACAGGTCCCATCTCGATGACGCGTGTAGCCAAGGATTCACCTTCCATCAAAGGTGGGGGATTCGTCATCTTACAGGGTTTGACGAGGCGACAGGTTACGCGGATGGGCATCGTCGCGCGTCTTGGAGGTACAATAAGGCGTATTCCGCTGTGCCGGCAGCCCTTCATCGTACCACCCCGAGCGTCCACCAGGAAACTCACGAGGAACCTGCATCATCCACACATTTATCTATCTGGCAGTATGCCTTTTCTCCCTCCTTTCATCGTCGATTTTACCAAAAAAATGAAATGCTCTTTATCGAACTTTACGTGTGCGTTTAAAGGGAAAATCGCATATGCGGTATGATGCAGCAGGCATCGATAGCACCGGGAATAAATTAAAAGGATTAAATGATAAATCACGTGAAATTAACGTGTTCTGGTCTAAGCAAATGAATGGGTTAAAGCCGTATGTCATTGCACGAAAAAAAAAAGAAAAAAAAACGATGCGAACCAAGTGAAAAAGAAGCGGCTATGAGTTTGATTTGACTGAATAAAATTTTAAATTCATATACTAACGATTTGTAATTCGGTCTGGTTATCGCATGAAAGTACAAAAAGACATTACAAACATTAGTAAATACTTATTAGTGAATAATATTACGAGGTAATGTAATAATAGGAACGTAATGATTTATATTACCTGGCGAAGTCATTGCCATCAAAGTTTTCGGCGGAGCAGTAGTTATTACTTTGAACAAAATCTTGGTATTCTTCCTTGGAAACTGGATGAGAAAATGACAGAGGCTTTTATACTCACGAGCAATTATAAGAATTTGACGATTCGAAGATAAATGAATAAAGCAGACAATTGTCTTTTTATTTTTACAAGATGCGCTTGTCTACTCACTCTGCCTATGTATTGGATCGTCTCTCGTCACATCGATTGGCAATGAATCATCTCTCAGGCTCTTCATAAGATCCGCGGTCAAGTATCGATAAGGTTGCTCGCTTATAAAATCATCGGTACCTGATAAATAACCATTAGGATATAAGGATTTATTTTATTTTATTAATTAATATTATTTTATTTTATTCCATTAGGATCCGTAACGAACCTCCTTCGTCGTCTGAATCGGACATGAGGCTCGTCTCCTGTAAAATTTCGGGGGCAATGACCTTGTACTTTTCCTCCCAATTTTTATTGTCCGGTGTTACGTCGTCGTAAGAGAGACCCTTCAATACTTCCATCACCGAGATGTAACCCAATTTCTGGGCGATATTGAGGGCGGTTAAGCCATCCTGGAACGATAAGCGAGTCGATCAATCTTAAATAATAAGGAAGCTTTAGTTCGATCGTGTGAGATACAATCGTTTCCCCGACATTAAATTTGGCATTGACTTATAATTTGTAAATTAACGATATTCAATATATTTTAGTTAGGCAGAAAATGGGAAAAAATTACATTGGTTCGAGCTCTGTGCGAGGCATTGCCCTCGACGAGTGCCGTCACGATGTGCGCGTGTCCTTGTTGCGCAGCCTGATGAAGAGGCATGTAATTCTGCTTAGTTTTCACGTCTATTTTGGCATTGTGCTTCAACAAGAAACGTATCATCGATAAATTGCCAAAGTGAGCAGCCATGTGAATCGGGCGGAAGCCAGTTTCCGTCTCACTCTCGACGTTAGCGCCGCTTTTCACGAGAATCGACGCCACTCTAATAAAGTCCTCCTGGGCGCACAGGTGCAAGGCCGTCAGTCCGTTCTGCGAATGACGTGATTTTTTTTTTTTTTTTTTTGTAGAAAGAAGCGTTTTAAGCATACACGCCTTAGATTTACCATTGGGTATTTGTGCTTTTTGTCCATGGGGACTCAGCCGATATATTCCCATGAATTAATGTATGATTTTTGTATTCAACTGTTTGGCGTGTTTCTTTATTTTTTGCCAACAATTACTTTCGTGACTTGACATTGTCACTTTTAACGCTTAAAAATTTATCTTAAACTTGAATTTAAAGATAACAATAGCCCGCACACGACAAGCTTATTAATAATTAATTCAGCATACAGATTCTTATAATTGAACATTACTTCGTGAAAATCCTATTGAGAACAAAATTAATTTACACGCCTTATATAAAATTTTACGAGCAGTAAATATTATTACAAATGTAATAAATACACAATAATTAGTTATGACAGATTTATCGGCCATTATCTAACATAAAGCTTATCGTATTTAGAATAAGTATGACTTCATCATTATCTAACCGGATATTACGTAATTTCAAACAATAACAATAACTTTTATTAAAAATTTGCTTTACTTTGGCTTGCAATTGCGCACAATAATTCAGCAACACTATTTATTAAGTCTATATTTCTTGAAAAGCGACGGACCAAGTGATTTTTACTACATAATTAATAACGAATAAATCAAAGATCCATATACTTGCCTTTGCTTTATGATTTGGATCAACTCCATGTTCAATTAACAAATTGGTCATATCGTAATGACCTTTCTGAGCGCTCAAATGCAGAGGTGTAAAGCCTAATTTTGATTCTAAATTGGCCTTAGCTCCATGCTCCAGTAATGTCGAAGCTATATCCATCTACACATTGTACAGAACAAAGTACTTCAATTCGGGCTCTTATTACTGTAGCGAAGCAATAATGCGATAAGAGCGTTTATATCGGCTAAAATTAAATCGACATTGCCAAAATCCGACAAGTGAAGTTAATCCGAGTCTTATCGTGACATAAATTCAAATTTTATACTATATTCTATTAATAAAAAAATATGAATAAATACTTTCTTTTTTTTTCTACGTCGCGATTCATCGCGAATTTCAAAATGCTTTGAAATAATTTAAGCATTTTTCAATTGATAAATTCATTTCGATTATTGAATTTTATCTTATCATTCGTATTAACTAAGGAAATAATCACTATCCGTTTGTGTAATTTATGAATAAAATTTTTTATTTTTTTTTGTATAAAAAATAAAAAAAAAAAAAAAAAAAAAAAAAACGAAGCATTGAAATAACATCTTTGTAATAGTTTATTTAAATGAATAAAGGCAATTGTATAAATGTTGGATTAAATAAAGTGAAATAAGTTGAAAATATAATATCATTCATATTACCAATACCTCGAACATCGAGAATGCTTTACAGAATATTAAAGTCAACATTGCATATTCAGAAAAAGGTGGCTTCACCACGAAAAGAAAATCTCTTAATAGGAATTTAATGTAATTAAAATAATTGCTTATGATAATCATATTACATAGAAATACGTAGATTCGAATCGATGCCACGAGTCATTATGTCAAAAGTCAAAGATATTTTTGAAATAGTTGACAGATTGACCGTTCTTAATAATGAATAAAGGGATTTTCCATCGGAGAATAAGAATAAAAAAGGGAAAATTGTAATTAAAGTTTGTCTCTACTCGCCTGATTTTTACGTGCTGCTATATGAAGCGGCGTTTGGCCATTTTGTGAAGCTAAATGAGGAGAAGCACCTTTTTCTAATAATAATTGTGCGACATTCGGATGATCATAATGACAAGCTAATAGCAAAGGCGTGATGTTGTTCTGAAAAAAATAAAAACAATTATAATATTTACCATTAATTAAATCGTATGTAAAAATAAGCCATTTAATTCATAAAGTTAATAAGAATTTTAAACACGAGTTTTACATTTGTAAATTTTATACATTCATTTTACAAAATTGAATCCTATTATCACATAATGGCATTAATTATTATGGCACTATGACAATCGTTATAATTTACGTCGTTCATTTGCCTAAGATTAAAATTAAAATTCATAATAGCGTTGCAGATTGTAATAAGCCCGTAATAAATGTATAACAACGACAAAATAGCAAAGAATGTGCAAGCTAATAATTTTTAAGTACGCTACCTTTCCCTGAGCGTCGACTTTGCTGTCCCTCTGCAGTAGTACTTTGGCGACGTTAATGTTGCCGTATTTTGCGGCGAGATGAAGTGGCGTGAAGCCATTTTTCGTTGTCGCTCTTAGCGATGCATTATTGTCGATTAAAATCGCCACCACCTGACAAGAGTACTCGTATTAAAATTATTAAATTCGACATTTAAATGGAATTCTAATTGGCATTCTCATTGGAAACTATAAATGTTTCCAACTCTCTTTAATATATGCAACGCACTATGTTTCTTCAAAAGATAAAATAAAAAGAATTACAAATGATAATGTGCATGAATAAAAGAACATAAAAATAGAAAGGAAAAACGAAAAAAAAAAAAGAAGGCTTACCTTGCGCAATACAAGAGATGAAAATCATAAAAAGTCGTTCTACAACTAATAAATCACGTAAATTAATAATAATTTTATTATGCGGTAGCTAAACTACCAGTAAAATGAAAATTTTTATAAATAAGTGCACGTATAAGACCATGTAGGAATGTAGTTTTATGGTACAAATGCAATATATTACAGAACATATAACTAAAATATTATTTGACGGTATGGTACATGAAAGTTTCGAACAAGTAATAATGTATAAATAACGCATAGTAAGAAAATAAAAAATGACATATAAATAACAGCTTTATTAACATAAATTATAAAACAAATTAATCAAACAAAACATTGTCGTACAGGCAAAAATAAGTGGACAGTGAACAAGTGAAAATGAAATTTTAAAAATCGATGAATAGAAAAAGAATTGATATCAATACTTAAAAATAATAGTCGGTTTGTAAAAAATATAATAATAACTATAACTATAACAACAACAACAACAACAACAACAACAACAACAACAACAATAATAATAATAATAATAATAATAATAATAATAATAATGACAGGAAACTATAAGCTCAAAAATTAAATAGTACTTGAGGCTTGATTTTATTTTACGGGGATGTGAAATGCCAACGATATAACTATAATTATTTATTTAACCACATTTTACATGGTAAATTTTAGTATAAAGACGTTTAGTATGAAAAACGCAAGTTTGTGCATATGTTAATTCGAATAAACATCGTCTATTTAATCCAACCAATTTGCGATTCTTTTTTTTTCTCCTTTTTTTAACTAATTTAACATAAATAATGTATGTGAACGATGGATTATAATTATATACTTGGAAAAAACTTGTTTCTATTTACTAATACTTCGCTTTAACTGTATATTTGCATCAAAATTATTGCATCAGTTCAAACTTATTTTCAGTAATAATATTTACCATTAGAATTATCGTGAGTATTTAGGCCACTAAAAGAGAAATTATTTTCTTCTAACTTCATCGCTTTATTTGAATCAACTCCATTTTATTATGGCCTTTATAATTTTTCATTTTATTTATTTTTTTTTTTTTTTTTTTTTTTTTTTTTTTTTTTTTTTTTTTTTTTTTTTTTTTTTTTTTTTTTTTTTTTTTTTTTGCTATCTAAAAGATTTACCATAATATAATATGGGAAAATCCCAATAAAATACAAATGCAGTAGTCGAATTTACTCATTATATAGTAATAAAAGCTTAACTGTCAAAAATACATTAATAAAATTTGTAAATACTTTACTTTAACTATGTTTCTATAGAGGAGTTTATAGCGTAACTAATAAAATTTTATTTTATCAGCGTATATTTAATATAAAAAATTTTTTTAAAAATTAAAAATAAAAAACATAACTTCTGAATCTATCTTTAATCTATCTGCATTGTTCCAAGAATCATGTAATCCTCCTGAGATCTTTATTATTAACTGGAAAACATGAAAACTTGATCATTTGAAAAATTAGTTAAAAAAAAAAAGAAAAAGAAAAAAAAAGAAAAAAGAAAGAAATTACCAAAGTATTCCACCTATCTCTTGTACCCGCATAATTCTCGTTTATTCGGTCGAGTGAAAAATAATCGCCTTTGTCATCTTTGCTACATTGATAAATGTTAATAATAAACAAAGCGACACGTTTATCGCCGTACTCGGCCTCGATAATAATTAGAGGAAGAAAAAAAAACTGAAAAAACAAAGAGAAAAACAAAAGCAATTGCTTCGACGGCACCGCAGACGAAATTCGCTGCCACCCTTTATTATGCCCACTTGGCTATGGGATTATTTCAATAATGGGCATGGGCATGGGCATAGAGGCGCGCGTCCCAGCTACTCTCCACTAAATATCACCGGAAGCGCGGGTACGCGCGCGATCGGCGAGATGAAAAGCTGGGCTTGGTTGGCAAGGCCGGACTTTCACATCCCCTTGGCATCGTCACGAGCAACATTAACGGGACTAGTCAGATCATAAACTCGCGACGCCGGCTCCAGAAGAGGAATCTAAAGTTACAGAGATTGACGCTGTCGACGATTCTGGCGAGCTCGTCGCGCTCCTCGTCCGTCATTACCTCGTCCTGGCCCTCCTTCGCGGCCATGTGCAGGGCCGTGTACATGTCCTTGGTCACGGTGTCGACGGCCGCGCCGTGCTGCAACAGCAGCATCACGATGTCGACGTTACCGAGACGCGACGCAATGTGCAGGGGCGTCTGCAGCTCCTGTGGACAGGCGGGGCTCATAAATCGTTCCGTAGTCCACGTATCGAGGATCGCCCAGATTGCGCCGACCGGATTACAAGCGCTTACCCTCGCGGGAGCATCGACCTTCGCCCCATTTCTCAACAATATGCGAATGATGTCCGTCTGGTTGGCCCTCGCGGCGAGATGGAGGGGCGTCTCGCCTCGGACCGTTGGCACGTCCGGGTTCATCTCATTTTGCAGCAAGAATATCACTATGTTCATGCCGCCCATGAAACTGGCCACGTGCAGCGGCGTCAATCCGGACTGTAAAATTTTTCGAATCGGAGACATTGATTGTGAGTATTGCGGTGCCTCGAGACTTTGTTGAGAAAATTGCCGTATCGACAACGTTAGATTTTATTTTTCTTTTATTTATCGGTACTTTATTTCATTGTCAAGCGCAAATTTCCATAAAGTTTCAAGTTTCAAGTGTTTTAGCGAGAGCTCGAACAACGAGTCGTCGCGAGAAAAGCTTAATTGTTTTAAGGAGCTTGGGATGTCGAGGCGATCGAGCCTTGGGGCTTCGGCTTTATAAGAAAATATCGAGACAAGTATTGTAAGGTAAAGAGGCCAGCTCGAGAGGTCGAGAGAGCCGACGAGCATGGACGGTACCTCGGTGGTCGACTCGATCGATGCCCCGTACTTAACCAGCAGCTCCACGACCTTGAAGCGATTCTTTTTGCAGGCTATGTGCAGCGGCGTGAAGCCATTCAAGGCTCGGGCATTAACGTCCGCTTTGCGATCCAGCAGAAGCTTGGCGACACGCACGTGGCCGCAATGCGCAGCCACGTGGAGCGGAGTCAGGTAGTCGATGGTGACCTCGTCGACGGGTGCTCGGTGATAGAGAAGGGCGCGAACGACGTCCACGTGGTCGCCCTGGGAAGCCATGTGCAGCGGCGCCAATCCGCTCTGTCGAACGATCATGACCAATAGGCATATCAGTATGGGGGCTTGCACTTGGCAAACGAGATAACGAGTGCACGATTATATTTAATAATAAATATGTCGACATGTTTCATACAAATCATGTAATTAAAATATCCTCGGCAATGTACGGCCTCGAGCATGTCACAATTAAAACTCTTTTTCGCTGCCTTTAATAATCATGGTGGCCTACACCATGTGCATATAGTTAACCACCGATTCTATAAATACATATATATATATATATATATAATGCCTGCAAATACTCATACAAACTACATTAGCAATTATATTTGAGAGAAAAAATACTCTTGTAAGCACAAATGAGTCTTTCTAACGGTAAAAAAAAATGTATAAACGCGCTATTATTGGGAAATCCGTGTAATGCTAATCAATACGTAACGCTACACTTCGTATTTATTACTACACTCCGACTTTATTATTAATTAAAGGAGTCCAAGTCGTGTAATTTTTCCGATTCCTCGAGATCGTTCTTAACAAATTCGTCACGAGGACTAATCAATGTATTTCCATAGAAAAGATCGAACGTCCTGACCTCGCTTAAGTCACATCATCATTAAATGAGGGATGACGTTGCAGCTGGACAATTCCAGGCGTCGAAAGTATCGACGGGTTTTAAAGGCTCATCCCCGTGTAATACCCAACAACCCAAAGGCTCACCTTCGATCGTGCACTGATGGGCGCGGAACTCTCGAGGAGCGTCGCGACGCACTGCTCGTGCCCGGAACGAGCGGCGCAGTGGAGCGGCGTCAGGCCGTCCCTCGACTTCACGTCGATGGCCGCGCCGTGCTCCAGCAGGACCTTCACCATGTTGTCCTTTCCCCATTTCGCAGCCACGTGCAGCGGGCTTATATTGAACTGGAAAAGGTTTTCTCGCGCGTTAATCGTACTGTGTCCACTTGACAATCGGAGATCTTTCGCGCATTCTTAAAAGCGTGGTCAGATTTTCTTTGACATTTGATCCATCAGAGTATTCGCGTATAGAGGATAAAAGATTTTCTGTCCAAGAACTTTGGAAGGTCGATTTACATATCGCGCGCTCGAGAGTCGATTAAGTTAAGGAAAACCAATTGGCCGGGATTTCGTCAAAAACAGATGGAACAAATAAGAACAAATTGTTCATTATTATTTCATCGTTTTCCTCGATAATTAATAACGAACATAATGATTTGAAGCTTAACATTCTTGCAAGTATATGTTACTTTGTAATTTATCATCGAACGATGATACACCTACCACATTCAAAGAATTTCATAAAACCTTATAAATTTCATAAAGCAGAAAAATAGAAAGCTCAAGATACTCCGTCTGCGAATGGGCAAAAGTCATTTACGTATGCGAATGAACAATTAGCTGGTAAAAAAAAAGAATCATTTACCCTGGCTAAATAATTAACATCCGCTCCTCGTTTCAAAAGTAGTCGAGCGATATCTTCGTTGCCATAGTGAGCGGCGATGTGAAGTGGCGTAAAGCCGCTCTTTGACGTCACGTCTGGCTTGTGGTCGTTCTGAAAATAATCAAGAACTTTGATTGTACTCTATTATAATGCAATTTTTCAAACAAGACAAATTAATCTTTCACGTTCAAAAGATAATCGTATTTTATAATGCACGTGATATCGATTGTGATCGTACGGTAACTTAGAAATCATGTGCACACCTCACCTCTCACGACTAATTTCCATCAAGTTATTCCTTAAATTTTTATTCTTTACAAAAATTTATCTCAACAACAAATGGGCAATCAACAGCCCGTTGATGGATGTCTCATTTTCTATGATTATGTAATCGAATATTGGCAACATAATTTATCCTACCTGTAAAAGTAAATCAGCAGCCTTGCAGTCGTCTTTTTTCGCAGCGATATGCAGCGCTGGCAGTCTTGTTTTTCCCTTCAAGTCGTTTTCCAAAAGTACACTAACTACTTTATCGTGTCCTTGTTGCATAGCCACTGCCAATGGGGTGAAACCATCCTACATTAATAGGGATTTGAATGTGCAATTACAATTGTTGAACAAGATTACCTATTTCTAATTATGTAAATTATTACGAAAGAATTTAAGAAATGACTCGTTGGTTGGTAAGTATCATTTAATAAAAGTACATTGTTTCTTGTTTTTTTATTTTTTTATTTTTTTTTTTTTGTTTGTTTGTTTTTTGTTTTGTTTTTTGTTTTATTAATTTTGTGCCTTATTAACTCACCTCTGTTGCGAGACTTTGATTCGCCCCGTTAGTGAGTAAAATCTTAACGACTTGATCGTGATTTTCCTGCGCGGCCATATAAAGTGGTGTAAATCCATTTTGGGATTGAATATTAACAGCAGCATTATTTTGAATAAGAATATTAACGATTTCCGACTGACCAGCTGAAAAACAATTACACTCAAATTTACAATTCTAATGCAAACGCCAATGTTGACGAATTTGTAAATCAATCATCAAGGGATGTTAAGAATTTCAATTTCATACTACTATCTCTCGACTTATCGTCGAAATAAGGATTCATTATGAGATTTACCTCACTACTATTAAAATATCTGGATAAACTTTCATTATTTTAATTTACAAATACAACATGAAGATACAATGGAACATTTTAAATATCATACGATTGTCTAAATAAATTATAAAATCCGTATCGCACAAATATAATAACATGCACGTTAAAGCAAAAAACAAAATTTAAAAATAAAACACGATAAATTACATTATTCAATTACGAATATTTCATAGTTTATTACCTAATGATGCTATGTGTAATGCAGTGTTCCCTTTTTTCGTCGCAGCATCGACCTTTGCGCCCCTTTTCAATAGTTCTGTCACAATTTCAATGTGGCCATCTTTCGATGCCAAATGCAATGCATTTAAGCCATTCTAAAAATATAAAGGATAATTATTTTTCATAAACGAAGCTAATGGAAATTTATATCGCAATTATTTCTACGTGACGTTCTATTTTATCTTGTACGTTATATCTTGGTGGCAATTTCAATGAAATTTTTGAAAAAATTGAACTATTTTACTCGAAACTTTTGTTATTAAAATTATACCCGAGAACATTATTAAACCTCCTACATCTTCAAAATATAATAGGCAAATTCATTCAAGTATTAATGCAAGAATTTTATTTTGTTCAACTGTATTAAGTTATACTTTATAAAATTTTTATTTAAATCACAAAAAAATCTCATATATCCTTAAGTATCTTAGCTCGTGCCAAAATAATGTGATAAAGGAGTGAGGTCAAGTACTGGATAAAATGGCAATTAATGGTCCTTTAACGTCAATTAACGTGACACTTAATAAAGTTGAGAAGGAGCAAAATGAGATATTCGTCGGTTCGAAAATTCGAATAAATTTCATTGAAAAATAATCACCATTTCAAATAAAAGTTTTTGTTGCGAGAATATTTTGACAAATCACTCGTAGATAAAGTGGACTCACCGAGTTGGCTGTATTAATATCGAGATCATCGTCCAGGTACTCGATCACCTTTTCCAAATTACCGGACCGAGCAGCCCGAAGAAAAGTTGTTGTGGCATCACTCTGGAAAATATGCAGGAAATACGACAATATTAAATCCATCGCCAAAGCTCCATTTTTACTTGTTCTCATACATAATAAAGTATTGTATTTAATATGTTTATATATCGTTTGCTTAAATGACATATAATATATAATTATCGTATAGTAGTCATTACAGTAAATAATAATTTCAATAATATTTCAATAAATAATATAATTATCGATTATACATTTAATGTTTTTCATTTTTATATTTTATGATCTATTAGAAATTTATTAGTTGTGGTAAATTAACACTCTGTAATTTTTTACATGTTTTACTGGATTCATACAGACATGTCGAATCTAATGTTTATAATAACATATATACAATTAATTTTTCTGTACTTATAATAAATTACCATTACAAGCTAAGTAAATAATAATTGCATATAAAAGAAAAGAAAATTTATTTTAACTAAGCGAAGACCATATAATTTTCAATATGTAAATTAAAAAGTAATGATAAAATATTTTCTATTTAAAGAAAAATGAATAAACATGTGGTCTATTATTTTATACTTTAAATAGACACTTTTTTTTTTTTTTTTTTTTTTTTTTTTTAAAAAAAACCTTTTTTTTTTTTTTTTTTTTTTTTTTTTGACGAATTTAATTTTATTTTTACCGTAATAGAATTATCAACTAGTTCTAATAATAAATTATCCAGACAGAATAGCAAACGTATTCACGAAAATTTCATTGGGATAAAATAATTTATAATACTTTCATAAGAATGCTATTGGCCACATTTTAAGTTAGTCATGTAGAGTACTTCATTCGTTGTTTTTACGAAAAATCGATGAAAGCCACCGACTCAATAGATTTTCCATAAATGAAAATTACCAAAATAGTACGAATTAATATTCAAATTTTTCAGCTATAAAGTATGCACTAAAAACACCCACATCCATACATATACATGCACACTTAGTCACACACATTACTGACAAATACACGCGCGCACACACGCGCATACACATACGCACGTACATGAATACCCACTTAATTTTAATCTGAGTGATTTAGATTTTAATCTAAATTATTAATTTAAGTGATCGATATCACTTTTCTATATATATATATGTTTAGTGCTTTTGTGTGTGTGTTTGTGTGTTTGTTTGTGTGTGTGTGTTTGTGTGTGTGTGTGTGTGTGTATTTCCAATATTTTACATGTCAATAGATTTAATCTCTGAATTAAATTTGATTACTTATATGCACTTTTCCGTTTGTGAAAATTACTTATAAACGTTCACTTACATAATTTTCTACATAAAAATATAATGCCAAAACTTTTCAACACACAAAGTTATAAAGAATTTTATATACCTGCCGCGTTCTCTTTAAATATCAAGATTTCATTATTTTTTTGCTTATCTATCTTATTACGTACGTTATATTCATAATTAAATAATAAATACACAAATAATTACTTAAATTGACACTAACACATTTTTAACAAAGTCTCTTGAATAATTATTACCTTAATAACTTAAAAGTATTACCTTAATTAGTATTGTAATAAATGTATTTTTACAATAGAAATACTTGATTGTTTAATAAACTAAATCATATTTTATCCCGCAGTTAAAAATTCAAAGAATTAGAAAATTACAAAAATTGAATGTTTTATAAATTACCGTAAGATAAATATTACTAAGATGGGATATATTGAAATTTGTCTTTATAAAAATGTTAATATAAATTACAATAAACTAGAATTCCTAAAAATACTGATTTATTAACCATTAATACTAATAATGAAAGTGTCATTACAAATGTAAATAAGCAATTCTTTCTAATTATTTAATATTTTAAAGAGTAAGAAAATCTTTAATTTTATAGATTGCCATTACTAGTTATGACATTATAAAGTTTGAAGAAATAGTTATAACTTACTTTATCAAAAAATAATTATTTATTTATACTTTAATAAAAAACGAAAATGATATTTTTATATCGTATTAAAATTTTTTATTATTTCAAGCAGTAAATTAAATATTATAATATTATATTACTCATTAATTGACTTTATTATATATAGATACATTCTTATAATTAAGAATTGAAAATAATTCCACGTAACATTGTAATATGGAAAATTACATATTAACTTATATAGGACGATGTATTAATTAACGAAAAAATCAATAGAAGCTTCGCTCGTTTTATACGCACATACGATCACTCGTCCATCCCTATGATAATCAAGAATCGTATATTAACGATGGCTTAACTTAAATAAAATAGAAAAAGAAGTATATATGTAAGTTTAATAAGTGGTGAGGCATATATGAAAATACGAAAAATATATAATAATTTTTAATTAAATAAATATAAAGCATTTGTTTTTTGTAATTATATTGGATACGTTAATTCCTCTCAAAAATTCATGTTAATTTAATCATATGTGTTTTCTTTTTGTTTCCGCATAAGAATTATGGTGATATATATATATATATATATATATATATACATATACTTAAACGGTCAATCTATTGTTCTATTCGAGTACTGCTGTTCTTGAAGTTTATCGCTCTTTAAGCAATTTGAAAGCTCCGTACTAATTGAGAATTCTAGTGTTCGACAATTTATGAAAGTATTTAAAAGCATAAGTGCGTGTAAAATCATTTTAAAACGCTAATGAAAATTTTAATATTTTGCTACTAGTCTTATTTATAAGAATTTAATAAATATTTCATAGAAATACATTTGATTGATGTAATAAGTGTTCAGAAATATTCTATTTTTAGTTTAAAACCAACACTTTTATTATATGTCTAAAATAGTACATTTTAAATAAAAGTGTTATTTATATAAACAGACGTTCTTTAAAGTACTTTTAGATTTGGAAATAACGTTTACGTGACTGAAGCGCTTTTATAAAATAGAATTTTTTAGGAACATTGAAAGTACAACACATGTAAATCAAATTTCTTCATATATATGAATCTTTCTTTAAAACTTATGCAAAAAGGATATTTAGTATGGAGATGAAATTCGATAATCACAGTATTTTTGAAATATTAGGTTTAACTATAAATGATATATATATATATATATATATATGGCATAATTAAACAATTTAAATAAGTTTTTAGGAAAATAAATTGATAAAATTTTGACTAGTTCAATGATATAATGAACTATATATAATTATCTACGATATTTATTTAAGAGAATGTAATTGGATAATTTGTGATTAAATTTTTATTTTTAATTAAATTTTTATTCACTCAAATATTTCGTTTAATTATCTTTTCTTCCATACAATTTTTATATTTCTCTGGAATAAATACTAATATAAATAGAGTATAAGCTAAATGAATAATGATAAATGTAAAGTTATACTACGTGTTAAGATTTTCAAGAAAGTATAACAAAATTATAAAATAATGAACGATAAGAAAAATTAAATATCTTTTAATAGAAGTTATATTGTAATTATTGGGGCCTATAAAATAATTATATTAGACAATTTTATCAACAAATAAAATCACATTTACGGTAATGAACGTAATTTGTAATTTCCAATAAAATTGGTTTTTATGGCCATTAGAGCACATTTAAAATAACAATCTTCGTTTACATCAATAACAACTTTTTTAATATACATGAAAATATTTCATAGTATTTTTTATATATTCCTATTATTTTACATTACGTCTAAAATCTTAATCTTACACGTTTATTGATTTAATATCAAATTTATATCTAGAAATAATACAAAAAAGCAAAAACAAATCTCTTTATACACGTTTCGTCAATCTTTTCCTCTATACAAAGCGACACACAAAAAGAGCAAGATCGCTGAACAAAGTCAGCCTCTCTTTAAAAATATTTTATATTTTTCTTTATTGCCAACATAAATTCAAAGTGTGTCGCAGTAGCATTACACTTCACGTGAAGCAAATTAGTTTCTGCTCTAACGGAAAATATATTTCAAACAAATAAGTGAAACGAAATAAAAAGAAGACTTGTAAGGATTTATAATGAACAAAGTGAATGGATTCAGGCAAAAATTTTATTACTTCGGCACATGGTGATAAATAAGAAGAACGATAATGAGGAATCAAACCAATCCTCAGACAAATTATTTCATCCAGTTTTATTCTCCCGTTACTAAACTAGAGCATAACAGACCGGAAGAAAAACATATTTCTCGTGCCAAGTCGGGCTAAAGTTAAATAACCATCTTTCCCTGTCTCTTCACGCTCTCCTTTTTCTTATGTTTTACCTCAAGCGTGCACACACACGCACGCACGCACGCACGCACGCACGCACAGACGCACACACGTCTACTTGAGGTTAACTCAAATATTTAGCTCAAACTCTCTTTATTGTATTTTCTGTGGCATAGTCAATGCAAATTTAAAGAATTTTCCTACCTATTTTCAATTTTCACCTCCCCTACAATATCCTATACAACATTTTCTTAGAATTCATAAATATTGTACAATAAATTATTATGCTAAATATTAGAAGAGCTAATTTTTTAATAAATCTAAAGCAGAAAAAAAAAATGATTTTAAACAATAATGAACAAGCCTGTAATAAATAATTTGTAATGTATTCTTTAATATCAGATAAAATAAATAAATCAATTTACAATAATATATATATATTTATATATATAGCAATAATAAAAGTTTAATAAATTAAAGAATAATCAAATAGATAATGCTTAATACATTTAATTTGCATATATAATTACTTTCTGTTTTATCTATACTTCAATAAACTATGTATTATATTATCACTCGTATTTTACTTTTATAACACAATTTATTTCTATCCTATATTAATATATTAATATTTTAATAATATTTTGCTAACTGACAATTGGAAGTATCAAAAACTTAATGTGCAAATAGAGAAGTAAAATAATGATATTAATATGATTAAATGAAGAATATTGATATTTATAGTTTGTTTAGTTTTCGAATTAATTTGTACATTATAGACTAATAATACAAAATTATAAA